TCCCCTCTGGATGGGCTCAAGGCAGAGCCACCTAACCATGTGACAGGGGAAGACATGACCCCAAGGGACACTCCTGAGCAGGTCTATTCTGATTCAGAGCCTCCTCTGCCAAAGCCATTACCATGTCCCCAACAGGAGTCCCACTTAGAAGACTCAAAGCACTGTTCTCTCTCAGAAAGCAAAGACAAAAGCCATAACATCTGTCTTTCTGCTGAGAAGTCTTTCCTGTGCTTTGCCCCAGAAAGCTATCCTGATGTTTCGGCGGGTCTCAGGATGGCTGCATCTTTGGGTTTTGCTGGTGTGAATGAGATGGTGGCCCCCAGGATTGGGATGGAGCAGTGCAGCTGCCAGTTCTCCTATGCCACATGCTTCCGAGGCCTGCAGCTAGAGACAGAGGAAGAAGACCAGGACTCACAAGCATGCCCCACAGCCCCCCTCACTTCACCGCCCTCTGCAGGAAGCCAGCTGGCTCTCCCATGGAGGTCAGCCAGAGCCCACAGCTGCAGCACTGAGCCCCTGTTGAGAAACAGCCACATCTGGCCAGAGTACTGCTCCAGGACTCTGAGACAGCTGAAAGCTGCCCCTGCCAGCACCCCTGAGGGCTTCATCCAACTCACCAAAAGCCTGCTGGAATTACAAGACATTTTAGAAGCTTCCTGGGGGAATGGCAACAAACATCCCCCAGAGAAGTGCACCTGGCACTTTTCTGAAAGCCGGAGCCGGCTCTGCATGGGCTCCCAGAAGCTCCTGTCAAGCTGTCAGCACGTGATCAGAATGGACCAGTCCCCCGAAGAGATGCAGCGTGCGGTGCGTGACACCTTCCAGCACCTGGTCCAGCTGGCCAGCCTGTGCTTCCAGTTCACGGACTGCAGCCGCTGCTCTGCCCGGCACAGGGAAACGGCGGGGAGCCTGAGGGACGTGGTGTGCACCTACCACCAGTTCGTGGAGGCCGCTAAGCTGACCTGCGAGAGAGGCTACCATGACCTGAGTGTGAAACTCCTGGCCCGTCAGTGCACGGCCCTCACGGCTGCTGTGTTCTGTTTGACCCAGAAGTTCCGGGCATCTACTGTACTGTGAACAGGTTGGCTGCCTCAGTCCCCTGCCCTGCCCTGGACACTTCCCTGAGAAGCCCCTTCCATTCCCCACTCACCTTCTCAAATGTTTACTATTTAAAGTATTCAAATAAACTGCTGCTTAATCTTGGCCTCAGTCATACAGAGTGATAAGTTTGGATCAAAAGTATTCACTAATGTTCATTCAACATTCACTGGATACTTCTGTGCCAGGCCTGGTTCTAGGAGTTTGGGATATGAAGATGAGTAAGTCCCTGCCCTGGCGAGGATGTTCACAGACCCTTAGTGTGCCCAGCTGACATCTGTACCTTCGGGACATGCAGATAAGTAGATTCCCACCAATAAAGTGTGTGCCCTAGAAGGAGTGTAGAAACAAAGCCACTTGGGCTGTCCCAAGAAGGCAAGGATGAGGAAGGAAGGTAGGCATCACTGAAGAAAACAATCTTGACTTCATATACCACATTGATTTGGAAATAACCTTCAAAAATAGGAAAGAATACATGTAATATTTGATAGATTCTTCCCTCACAAGTGTTGGTTTCTAGCACCTGTCCCAGGCCTGGTATTCTTGCTGGCCTCGCTGTCGTGAGCATAGGTTGCCACTAGGTGGCAGTACGTCCCTTACGTGCATGACCATCCACGTTCCCCAAGTATTCTGTGCTTCATTTAAAATTGACGGCATCCCTAAATCCTGTACCCTGTTTCTACCTTTAATGTTCTAAAAAGACAAACAGAAAGCCCTGAGTTATATTATTCTTTTAAAAAATAGCATTAGAGCAAAAGAAATACATTCAGTGTCTCTCACTAATCCCAGGTGAGCCAATTAATCCCAGTTAATCTTGGTGGGATTGTGGACACGCTCCCAATACTTTGGTTTTTCTCTTCTGAAAGTTGGGGATACAAACAGTGCCCACTTTGCAGGATAAAGATCTAATAAACACTCAATAAATGTTAGGAATAACCCCAGCTTTTAAGGACACCTCTCCTAATCTGACATCTTTCCTGCATTTTGTATTCATATGCCAAAAAAAAACTGATTTCAAGATACACTTGCAATATCTTCCCCAATCCTTGGCTTCATGGTCCAAATCGAAGGTGGTTTAGACACTCACCTGGGACTACTTCAATTCATTCCAGGTGGTGAGCTCTGATCAGTTGCAAACTCTGCTCTGCCCCTGGGCTTTGGCTCCTCCAGGGCTCCCCATTTCCTTCCTCTCCACCCAGTAAAAGAAGGAGCACAAGAAGACATTCTAGCTCTATCCAGTCGGAGGAAAGCAGTACTTTGGAAGAAGAGAAGAGTTTCTTTCTTTCCCTTAGAGGTCTGTTTCTTTTTTATAGAATATTTTCAATAAACTATCAGGAAGGCTCTTGGACACAGACTGAAGGGATTTCATGCAATGAAAACAGGAACAATAGGACACAAAAGTTGTGTGATCTTAAACAGGACTTGAATGCTTTACCAGTGGAGAGCTATAAAGAACTTCATTACATATTGATGGGAACACAACCTATGCTTTTACAATTTTTAGGAAGGAACTCAGAACTTCAACTCCATCAGGGCTTGAATCCTGGCAGTGGTCGGTGCTGTTAGACACTTATTTGGGCCTCAATCTCCCCGGCGGCAAAAGGAAAGACTAGCTTTCATTTAATGAGGAACTAAAATGTGCCAGATGCCTTACTTAGATCACTTGGATACATTTTCTTACCAACATGATAACACCCAAAGCAGAGATTGCTATACACATTTGGTATTATTTTGAGAAATAATCATGAGGATAGAAAGAAGACTAAAGTCTCCAACACATGCACTCAAATGTTTGTTTCCTTCTTTACTTGCTTTCTTTCCTCTCAAATACAGTGCCTTACTTGGGCTGCCACTATTGATATACAGAGCTGATATTTTGCTCTGGAGTTCCCATGAGGGGTATTAAGTCTCAGAAGTTCTGGGAACCCCCTCACCGCTAGTTGAAAAGCCAGCATAGAGGGGGAATTGCCCTGTTTAGCACTTCCTTAAAGAATCGGACCACCTACCACCATGCAAGAATCAATTCTTTAATAACATAAGAAACTATGGGACATTTACACTCTTTCCTTTTGTCATCCACCACCACATGACTGATTTCTTTCCACAAACATTTAGGATACACCCAGGCAATGCCTGAAGCAGGGTTCTGGATATAAATTGGGTGAAAAGCTGGTCTTCAGGAGCTCTGATCTTGAGACAGAGGTCTTGTCTTAGAGATAAGATAGTGCATAGAGATAGAGATCTTTAAGTTACAGTAGGCTAGAGCCAACAAAGCAAACAAGTTAGGTGCTATGAGAGCTCAAAGGAGAGAAGTCATTTTTGGGTAGAAGCAGTGATGAGGGAAGACTTCCTTGAGGAGGAAAGTAGGATGTCAAGAATTATTATCTACTGTGTCTGGCCCTGGATTTGATAGCTAGATGGGAGGATTTGACCTTGTCAAGAAAGGAGAAAAATTACATATTTATCTTGTCAACAAATATTTGCTGTGCCATAGCATTAGGAATACAACTATATATATCAGACATAGTCCCCTCAACAAACTTAGTAATTAGTTGGAAAGGCACAGGGGGGAAAAAATCACTGACTGGTAGGTGAAATAGAGAAAATGAAGAGGGTGCCAAGACAGGGATTGAAAGAGCCTTACTTACCTAGAGTGACAGTAAAGTCCTCCCGAAAGAGGGAACATTTAATTTGAGGCCTAAAAAATGTGAAGAACTAGCCATGAAAAAAGTGAGAGCAAAGGGAACCATAGCAGTACAGATGCAGCTGGAACATAGCAAGCACAAGGAAGGGTGCTAGATGAGGCCAGAGGGGCAGCCATGAAGCAGGCCATGCAAGGCCTTGGGAAAGTTAGATTTTACATCCAAGAACACTGGGAAGGAGGTGCAGACCCACTCGGAGACTTTTTCTATGAAGTGGCCATGAAGTCCTTCAAAAGTGAAGGGATACAGAAGCAGTAAGAGGATGAGAAGGGGAAGTATTCAAGACAGCTTAGAACAAGGTGCGGGCTTGGTGTGATGGGAGCAACGGAAAACATTTGTGCCCTGCTGAATGAGGAGCCAGGGTAAACTCACCATCGACTTCTGAGGTGGGCTTTAGAAGAACCTTCTCAGGGAGAAAAAGGACATTTCGTTTTAGCATTTAAAATTTATTCTGGTAGAGAATAAGAGGGGCTGAAGCATATGTTGGGGACGGGGTAGGAGGAGATGTGAAAAGAAAAGTCCCGAGAGGGAAAAGGTGTGGGGCAGAGAGGGCTTCTAATAGGACCGTGGTTTCTTGGGCAGATATTTCTGCTCATTCATAGCACGATCTCTGAAAACATGGGAGCCCTAGGATTGCAGGAGTAATGGGAAGAGTGGCTAACAGTTTTTATCTAGCTAAGGTATGGGCACGTGACTACGGGACTCTGAGCCTCAGTTTCCCTGTGGATACATAAGGCGGGAAGGAGGAGGGACAGTGACCAGAGACTCACTCATACCTGTCCAATCCGGGTATTTCGGCTGTGAGCCTGGACAGTCAGGTAGCGGTGATGGGAACCGTGTTCTTGGAAAGGACTGTGAAAGCAAGCTCGTGGACCCTGCTGGTTGTGGGAACCCCAAGAGAGGGTAAGGCTCTCGCGAGGCATCTATATGAGGGGTGGTTCAAGCCTGGTTCCAGCCTACGCCCAAGTCTAGCACTTGACAACAATCAGACTCCTGTCATTTGCAGCAGCTCTGGGAGATCGGCAAGTGGCTGCGATTCTAATCGCCATCTTACATACTGGGTGACCGAGGTTCAGAGAAGAACAGCCACACTCCAGACGGGAGGCAGCTCCCTAGTGCAGCTGGGGTAAGGAAGCTGAAACCATCTCGGAGGCTGCGGCACAAGGAGCGGTCAAATTGAAGACTACAATTCCCAGCATGCCTTTTAGAGAGGGGCAGGAACCGGAAGTGAAAGGGAAGGCAGGGCCTTTTGTGCGCAGCCGCAGCCACCACGGACGCTACGTGAGGTGACGGAATCAGGTACTGCCGGGATCTTTTCGGGGGGCTGGGTAGGGGATGGGGGCCTGCCCTGGGACCGTCTCCTTGTTTGTGGGAGAAAACTTCAAGAAAACAACGTTTTAACAGTCGTTTGTTCTGGGGCACTCCTCCATCTTGATGCTTTCCCTTCCTGCCTCCCCTCGCACTCGCAGCCTGCGGGCCAGGCAGCACCCACAAGTGGGGTGTTCTCGACCCTGAGGTCTGATGTTCTAGTCCTGAAGGGGCTGGAGGACTCGCTCTACTGAAGTTTAGAATGAGAAACCTGCACACACAGACTGGTCGGGCCATCGCTCCAGAGATAGGCTCATTAGTTGGGACATGGGCTAGAAACTTTGAGGTATTTGCCAACTCAAAGATGGGGATAGGTGGAAGATTTATCTATTCATCAAGTATTTATTGAGCCTCTGTTAGGTACCATGACCTCTTTTAGGTGTAGAATAGTGAACAAAGCTAGCATAACGCATTATAGAGATGGGGAAGTTCAGAACCACCCCCCAACACACACACACACACACACACACACACACACACACACACACGTCAAGTTAGGAGTGAAAATCTGAATAAAGTGATGAATATAGTAATAATTACCAGGGGAGAGCATTGGAAGTAGGAAACCCAGCAAGTGCAAAGGTCCTGAGGTGAGAATATCCTTGTTATGTTTGAGGAACAACAAATAGACCAGAGGGAGAAATAGATTGCAATATTTGGCCTTCTTTGTTATTTCCTCTGGGTATTCATGCCCTGTGTATTTATCTCCCACACTGGCTAGGACTCTCTTGTGTAACCAATAAGATATTGAGGAAATGAAAGTGTATGACTTCCAAGGTTAGGTCATTGTGGCTTTTGCCTTACTGCTCTTAGATCACCTGCTTTGGGAAGAGCCAGCCCACATGACTAAACCTTCTTGGAATCAAATTCTCCAGGCTCAGTCAGTTCCTTACTGATAGGTGTCTCTTGCATTCCTGACCCACAGAAAATGTGGAATAATAAATGTTTAATGTTGTTTTAAGCTTCTAAATTTTAGGGTGATTTGTTTCAGAGTAATAAGTGACTTATACATACAAAAAAATAGAAATAATTATGGTGTGCAGCAAAAATAGTGTTTAGAAGGAAATCTATAGTTTCCAGTGCTTATGTTTAAAGAGAAGAGAAAAAAAAAGAAAGAGAAGAGAAATTGGAAGTAGGTGATCTTGGGTTTTACTTTAAGAAGCTAGAAAAAAATAAACCCCAAGAAAGCATAGGAAAGGAAATAACAAAGCAATAAAAAGTAGGTAGTAATAGAGAAAATTGGTAAAATCAACTGCTGATTCTTTGGGACGATTATTAAGATTGATAAGCCTCTGGAAAGAGGGACACACAAAATACAAATATCAAGAATGAACTCAGAGGCAGCACTTTGGATCCTACAGAAATTAAAATGATGAAATTTGTGATTTATCTCTATAAATTAAATAACTTAGGTAAATGGAGAAATTTAATAAAAGATAAAGGTGCCAGAGCAACTTGGTTGGAAACAAGTCTTTCTGCAGATCATGCTAGAGTCACTTCTTATCCACGTAGAAAAAAACAATCTTAAACTTTATATCGTACACAAAAATGAATCTGACAAGGACTGTAGACTTAAATGTAAAAGGTAAAAGTATAAAACCTCTAAAAGGGAACATAAAATACCTTTGTGACTTTAGGATAGGCAAAGATTTCTTTTTTTTTTTTAAAGATTTATTTATTTATGTATAGAAGAGCTGGGGTACAGGCCAGAAGTGCAGGGGTGAGAGGATTCACCAGAGACAGAGTGGGGTACAAAACAGGCAGACCAACCGAAACATACTGCTGAGGGGAGCAGCGGCCACAACAGGAGAGGTCTGCTGCGCCATGTGGGTTGCTCCCTGTTCGGCTGGGGGATTGAACTCATGCTGCAGAGGCTGCAGATCACGTCACAGTGCTGTGCTTAACCCCGTGCGCCACCAGGGAGGCTCCAGGCAAAGATTTCTTAAAAGACACAGAAGGGGGCGGCCTTCCTGGTGGTGCAGTGGTTAAAGTCTCAGCATTATCAAACTATCGCAGCCACTGTGGCATAAGTTCAATCCCCAGCCAGGGAGCTAACCCCCATGGAGCAGCAGACCTCTCCTGTCTCACCTGCAGCTCCCCTCAGCAGTATATTTCAGTAGATCTGTGTATTCTATCCCCCACTCTGTCTCTGGTAAATCCTCTTACACACACACCCCCTCCTGCACCTCTGGCCTACACCCCAGTTCTTGTATGCATAAAAAAAAAAAACCTAAAGAAAAGAAAGAAAGAATAGGTAAGCTACAGGTTGGGTGAAAATATTCTCAATACACATATCTGAAAAAGGATAGTATTTAGAATATACAGTAGACTTCTATAGCTCATCAATAAAAATAAAATGAACAAAAGACTTGAACATATATTTCATAAAGTAAGATATATCATGAATGGCCAATAAATTGTGTGGAAAGTGCTCATTATCTTTAGTAATTGAAGAAATGCAAAATAAAACATAATGAGATTCCACTACACAAGAATGACTAATACTAAGAACTCTGACAACAGCAAATGTTGGTGATGATGCGGAACTCATACACTGCTGACAGTAGTGTAAAATGGTATAATTACTTTGGGAAAGTGATGGCAATTTCTTATCAGTTAAATATGCACTTGCCTATGACAGGAAATAATGGTTTTATAGCCTAAGACTTCAGGTTAAAATGTTCATTACTGGAAGAACTAAAAACACTAAGCAACAAGGGTTGCCACTAAAGGTGAAAGGGGTTCAGTCAAGATTTTTCATTATAAATAGATCTTTTTACCATGTGCATGGATGATAGATTTTCATTTTTTTTAAATACTGCCAGGCTGTCTTTTTAAATATATATATATATATATATATAAATTAATACAAGAACTGGGGTCTAGGCCAGTCGTGTGGGGGTAAGAGAATTCACCAGACACAGAATGGGAAGACAAGAGAAGTTAGCTGCACTATGTGGGTTAGCTCCCTGACAGGGATGGAATTCATGCAATTCATGCTGCAGTGACTAGCAACAGCTTGATAGCGCTGAGACTTTAACCCCTGCACCACCAAGGAGTCCCAGATTTTGTTTTAAAGATACGCTTTTGCTAAGATGGTGGCAGTACACTGGACTCAGAGGAGCAGCCATCAGCAATGATCACACCTTTCTTTGCAACATTTGACCACCAATTAGAGTGTTTCTGTCTCTAGCTTTCTCTGGGATTTTAAACACCACTTTGAAATTACGACATTCATCCAGTTACTATAACAGTGGTTGTCCATGCTTTTTCTACCTGAACGCTTGTGGGGGACACTAAACATTCTCATTGGTGATAGACTTTCTGCAGCAATGATACTTAATTGAGTTGGGGGAGGAAATGTGTAATTTGAAAAAATGAATTCTTGATTTATCACCAGTTTGGTTTTGTGCAACTCAATTCCATATTTTTGACTATGTTTTCATCTCCAGGATGTTTCTAGTTTAAGACCTTGCTTATAGTAGGTGTTCAATAAATATTTGCTAGAGGACTGGTTCTCAGAATAATGGGGGAGGTGACTTTTGCCACCTCTGTCCCACCTTCATTTCATACATGTATTTCAAATAACACAATAAATGATGTGGTTATCTGTGTCACTACAGCAGAGGATAATTGCTTGGAGGGGTCCAGAGTTGTTTGTCCTTCAAGAAGTGCATTTGGCTTCCTTACCATGAAAATGTTTCTTTTTATTTCCACTGAAATGTTTCTATGCTGACTCATTTCTCTGAAAGACACATGCTTTTTTTCAGTTCAGTAAATCTGTATTAGTATTTGCATACTTCTCTAGTAATATAGTAACACTATTTGTTATTAGGATATAAGGAGTACCTCTGCAAGTAAAATACTAAAATGTCACAAATAACTATGCCTTTTCTCCTCTGGGTGCAGAGAACAGAGGACTAAGCTCATGGACTGGAAATTGGAAGAGAGTACTTGGAAAACAGAGTCACGTGTGCTGTGGGAGCAAGAAGGCAGCCCAGGGGACACTGGCGAAGATGGTATCTCTGAAAGCTTTCAGCTTCTGCAGATTGAAGTGGAATGTGAGCCCCAGGAGGGAGAGACCCAACCCACAGACCCTGCAACGTGGTGCTCGGTGAGTTCAGCGCGTTGCTTGGCCATGGACTTTAAGATGATGAACATTCCCAGAGATCCCTGTTTTTAAGGGCAGATACTGGTAACAAAAGACTGGGAATGAGTTTTGTATATTCCAAGGATAATTTCCTGCTTTAAGGTTTTGATCCCATTTGATTTATAGGGCAAGTAAATAAAGTTCAAGGAGCAGTTTTTGAAACACCTCCAAGGGGCCAGAAAATCCAACTTGATTTAGGAACTGTCCCTAGCGAACTCACTGTGACCTTGAATATGTCACATCTCTTTTCTGGGGCTCTGTCGTCTCTAAACACAGACTAGTCTGTTTTTGTTTTCAATTATTAATATCCTTTTCTCCCCTTTTATATCTAAATTTAAAAAATTAGTAACTGTTTCTAATATTCATTTTCCTTTTTGGTGCTTATGAAGTTCTCAAACAATTTTGTTTTCTGGATAACATAAGAAAAATGTCCAAAGAAAACAGAGACACTGGGAAAAGATAGTTGCAGCAAAGAAGAGCAAAAGAAAGCAAGAAAAAGAAAGAAGAAAAGCCAATCGTGTAGAAAATCCAGGTAACAATAAATTAGATTGTGCTGTCTGTAGATTCCTGGGGGAGTAGGAATATTGTTTAAGTAAAAGCATACATTTGGAAGGTAGGACCTATCATCCTATTTTGTTGGGCATAAATATCAAAGAAAGCTAACCTTAAGGCTGCCTTTCACTATAAGCTGTGTAGTATACACACAAGTTTATAAGCTCAGAAGCAGAAGGAATGATAACACAAGCAGCTATCATTCAGTACTGTGTGCTAAGTTCACTGCTAAGAATTTTACATGGATTTCCCTAAGGGTAGGTACTTTTATTATCCCCATTTTGGAGGTAAACAGACAGTGGCTCAAAGAAATGAACTAACACGCCCAAGATCATACAGGGAGTAATTGAACAAACTGAATTCTGATTCAAGCCCAACAGTGTCCCTCAGAGCCCACTATCCTTTCCACTGTGCTTTACCTAAATAGTGTAGTGAATGACTACCTAACACAAGTCTTAATTTTCTTTTCATATACAAAAATAAATGAGGAGAATTGTATCTTACTAAATACTATTCATCTGTTTTTTCACTTTTGTTCTTTTCTGATATTTCTACACTAGGTGTCTGTCCCCAGCACAGCAAACGTTTTCTGAAATCCTTAACCAAGGAGAGACTTTTAGAAGCCAAACACTCAGGACCAAGACTCTGTATCGATTTGAGTATGACCCACCACATGTCTAAGAAGGTAGGACATCCACTAAACTCTGAATTCCTGTTCACATGAAGGAGGCTCAATAGGGAACTTTACTTTACTCTTTGCTTTCACAGAGAGCATGACCTGACCTAGGTTCTATGACTCTATAGCAAACAAGCAAATGTTCCACTTTCTACACTTGGCTACTAAGTTGACATGGCTGTAGTCTAGAATGAGGAAGAAAATAGACATTCTCTAGTTTAGTGTGCAGATTTTTACTTCAGCTTGTTTTGAGTGTAACTTCTTTGTCTCTGTGTTTATGGTGTCTCCGCTCTAGATGGAACCTTGCAGGTTTAGTTCTCCAGAGACAAAATCTTTGGTCTTCTGTTTGGGAGAAGAATATTTGCCCGGTTACATCGTGTGGCGAGATTGCCTGGTGGGAGGTTTCCTGCTATGTAGGGCCTTTCATTCATCCTATTAGTGAGGGAGGGATTTCTGCTCTGAGGTTCTGGGGATGGCTGAATACACACTAGACAGTTGAAATTAAATAGCAGATTATTAGTCATGTAAACTCAGCCCACAGTGAGGGCTGGCTACATGGGGGTTGCACTCAGGAGAAGAGCCTTTTTTTCTCTACCTAATCAAATTGGGAAAGATTGTGAGACTACCACTCTATAAGGTAGCCTCTGTTTACCTCTCTGTTAAAATTCCCAATCCTATTACATCTCCTGTAATTAGGGAGGAAGTGCCAAGTTTATCTGATAGAGTATAAAAATTTGTCATCTAGCCTCTTTTTATTAACTTAAGTGGTAAATATCACATGGTAAGATTTTAGATAAAAAGTGAAAATAACAATTTCATATATAATACTAGATATGTAACAGTAGGTCCAGAGGTAAGGAGAGATTTTTCCCATTAACTCTCTAGTTCTGGGCTAGTTTCATTGCCTTAACTTTCACCTATAAGGTGCCATGGGTTGTGACATGCTCGCACATACATGTAATGTACTCACTCCTGGAGTAAAAAGGGAGTATCATAGTTCATGGGATTTTTTCTCAAGTATCATTCAATGAACTAACAATTTGTTGATAATGAATTTGAAAAGACAGGGCACGTTTCTTTCCTATATTGTCCTTACTCCTTTGAAGGAATTAAGTAGACTGGCTGGACAGATCCGAAGGTTATATGGTTCAAATAAAAAAGCTGAGAGGCCATTTTGGATTTGCCTCACTGGATTCTCAACGGACAGTCCCCTGTATGAAGAATGCTTGAGGATGAATGATGGATTTTCTAGTTACCTGGTAAGCTTCATCTTGCATGTTTGAATTGTCATCTGAAAAGTAGGTTGTAGGGTAATAGTTAAATTAAAAAAAAAAATGTCCTTGCAGTGTCTAGGACACGCCTCCTTTCAGAAACCCACTTCCATTCCCTTCACTAGAAGTTCGTCCCTGGTGTGGTCACTCCCTCATCTCGTTGTGTGGCATGCTTTTCCATACATTCTGTCTCATCTTGTAGGACTAAATGCCTGTGCCTTTCTTTTTCCCCTCCTCAGCTGCCTACTAGGTTGTCAGACATGTAGCCCCTTAATGCACCCAGAGTCATGCTGATAAAACTAGGTGCCTAGTAACTGGTTGCTGTGTGTGGGCTCTGTCTTAAGCTTGTTAGCACTTCACTGAATTATTTGCATTTTCAGCTAGATATAACAGAAGAAGACTGCTTTAGTTTATTTCCTCTGGAAACCCTTGTGTATCTGACTCCTGACTCGGAACATGGTATGTACTTCACTGCTTGGATTCATGTAGCACATTGTTCCTTTATTTCATTATTCCCTGTCACAGAATCTATTAAAGCACCCAAGTAGTCATCCCTCACCTCAAAAAGAATGAATACTAATTGCATACTTTTGGGGGACAGATAGCTCTCTAGAATCTTTGCATATGTTCTATCATGTGCACACAGTGGCACAGGTTTGGGGTCTCCATCCTCAGCCAGACCTGTGCTGCTTGGCAATCCTTCCCAGTTTCCCTAGTTAGTTCCTCCCATTGCCCCTTCTTAGATCAATGTTAGAAAAGTATTTTCTCCCCTAAAATCTTTTTCACATAATTTTCAAATTTATTGGTGTTAAGTTGATCTTAGTATTCTAATTATATCACATTCCTCTGTACTTTTAACTTGTCTCCTTTCTGAATGCTGATTTGAGTTTACTGCCTTTTTTCTTGATTAGATATGCCAAAGATTTGTCAAATTACCTAGTCTTTACAGAGTAGTTAGCAAGTGTGCTATCTTATTTGTTTTCTATTCATTAAACTTCTACTTTTATCATTAATAATTCTTTCCTTTTGCTTTCTTTGGATTTAGAAATTATAAAACAGATTTGATCTCAATGGCCTTCATTTTTTCATTAGCTCTTGAAGATGTTGATCTAAACAAAGTTTACATCCTTGGTGGACTTGTGGATGAAAGCATTCAGAAGGTAAATGTACATTTTAGGCTAAAAGCTGTATTTTGTTTTTTAACAGATTGTGCCTCAGGTTTATTTGTACAAGTCGCACAAGAGGACACTAGCCCCATGCAAACAGTAGCCCAAGGGATACACCAGTCCTTATGTTCTCACATGGGTAGATAAGATTCTCTATTTTGGGGTCTGTGGGGGCCTGAGCACCTTTAGAAATCTGCACTGCAGTCACAGCCTGGGCCTTGGTTTCAGCCTTGGCCTTTGGCCAGGAGAGCCTTGGCAGTGTAGGCAATGCACATTTCCAAGCTTGGGGTGAGTGATGTAGGCCAGTTGACTGAACTTGTGGCTACTGCCCTTGGGAGTGTTAGCCTTGGCCTCCTTGAGCTTTACAAGGACCTTGAGAGCCTCACCATGTATACTCACAGTCTTGGTCTTGTGGGCCTGCATTTCCTTAAGGCCTTTTTTATTGTGCTTATTGGCACAGTGCATGTTTCTCGAGAATTGGGGTCAGCCCCCTTGAGACTCATATATCTGTGATTGTGGTTTCTTGATGCCATTTCTGTGCCATTTTTAGAACTGGTTTGTATGGTGTGGCATATGGACTTAACCATATCTGCACCTGGAGCAGAGTGGAGGTCAGGGCTGGGGGCTCACCAGCAGGGCCTACTTCTGCTAAACTAATTGATGACAGAGGCTCCCCTAGCATCTAAAAGTAGAAGAGAAGGCTAACAACTACATTTTGAAAAGTGGCACTTACTTTTAGAGGCTGCTCTATTATAATCTTACCCAAAGGGCCTAAAAATTCAGAGGGAATAAGAGCCTTTTCTCCCTAGGCTGACTTCCTTTTTGAGAAGCCCCCTGTCTCTTCATCAGCAAGTCAGCAATCCTGACTTGACAGAATCATCAGGAATAGGAATACATAAATTCCTGGTAATAGTTTGTTAATGACTGCTGTTGCATTCCTTTCTTCTCTCGTGTCTTTATTTCTACCAGGTGAACTCTGACTTTGACCAAAGAAGCATTGACTCAGCATTTTCACCATCTGTGTGTTCTTTGTGAGAGAATAATTTGTTCCTTCTTAGGCCATCCTCCCTGCTGACATAAGTCTTACCCCATAATTTCAGCCTCAATAAGATTGTTCCGTTTTCTTTTATTGAATAGGAATATTTTTGGAATATACAGTTTTTTAATGTTTCTCTTATAGAGATATTTGTTGAGGTACTCATACTTGTTTATTTCCTACCTCACATATACTACATATAAAATAGTGATATTATAGTTAAAATGTATAAGTCTCCCTTCTACCTTTGTCCCTGAGTGTACCCCACATGAAGCAATCCTTTTTGTGTATCCCTCTTGATATATTCTATCATCATCCAAGTATGTGTTTGTGGGGATATTTTATATGTGTGTATGCATATATTTTTCATACATGTGAGTATGTTTTCATAGAGGTATAAGATATACATATTTAATACATATGATACTTAACTAAATTGCATTTGTTCTAAAAAGGTCAATGTTCCATGATTCCATAGTAATAATTTCAGGAAAAAAATGGAGGAGAGGACTCTTACAAAAAATGCCAGCTAGTAAATGAGAAATTGCATAATGGAATAAAAAAGTAGTCATTGGTTAAGGGAATTGATTGAGCAAAAGATTGTGGGGAAACTAATCTTTCCTGTGTTCTCAAAGCATCACCCCACAAATTGCAAAGGCAGTGAAGTGAACATCCTAACCAAATAGCTAAACTTACAATCACCAATAGTGACATTATGTGTCTACGCACGTGATGGAATTTTACCTTTGAAGTATTTGTACTGGAAAATCTTTAAACAGTATTAAACAGTATTAAATTACGAGAAGTCAAATCCAGGATGGGAGACATTTTGCAACACCACTGTACTGAACTTTTAGAAAAAGTAAATTTAGTGGAAACTAAAATAGTCAGGGAACTGTTTTAGATTAAGACATTAAAAAGAGGGCCTCCCTGGTGGCGCAAGGGGTTAAGCACTGCACTATAAAGTAATCCACAGCCTCTGCAGCATGAGTTTGATGCCCGGCCGGCCAGGGAGAAACCCACACAGCAAGGTAGACCTTCCTGTCTCACCTGCTGCTCCCCTCAGCAGTGTATTTCAGACAGTCTGCCTGTTGTTTCCCACTCTGTCTCTGATGGATCCTCTCACCCCCTGCATCTCTGGCCTGTACCCCAGCTCTTATATGCATAAATAAATAAATCTTGTATGCGTAAATAAATCTTTAAAAAAAAAAAGACATTAAAAAGACTTAACAAATATAGTCTCCCATAGCAGAGTGACAGCCCCCTCTTCTGAGGCAGAAAAGTCCAGAGGATCAATATAGAGTGCAGTTGTAACACATTGTCCTCTTTTATTTCCCCACCAATATTTAAACTGAAAAAGAGGGACTCCCTGGTGGCGCAGGGGTTCAAGTCACATGTGGAGACATATAATGTCACTATTGGTGACTCTAAGTTTAGCCATTTGGTTAGGATGTTAATTTCCTTTACAATTTTGGGGGTGATACTTTGAGAACAAGGGAAAAATTAAGACTATCAAGCTATTGCCAGCCACTATAGCATGAGTTCAATCCCTGGCCAAAGAGCTAACCCACACGGCACAGCAGACCTCTCCTGTCTCCCCCACTGCTCCCCTCAGCCGTGTATTTCAGCAGATCCACATGTTCTGCTCCCCACTTTCTCTGGTGAATCCTCTCAACCTCCACACCTCTGCTTTACACCCCAGTTCTTGTATGCATAAATGAATTTAAAAATAAATCTTTAAACTGAAAAAGAACTGGTACAACGGGTTGTCAGATGTCTAGAATATTTTGGTTGTTACTAGAGAGTTTAGTTTCTTCATAGAAATATGCTGAGAACAAGGAGATTCATTTTCTCTTTACATGTTCAGAGAACAGAAACTAGATTTTTAAATTCCTCCAAGGCAATATCAAAGTCTCCTATTAACTTTGAATTCTGTACTCAAATTCAGAATGATTGTAAAGGGCTACAACTTAAAAAAGAATACAAACAGCCATCACTCATATATACAAAGGAGTGTTACCCTTCATGGATGGGTTTGTGAGCAGCTGTACCCTCATCCCATGTGAGTTGCATCACTTAAAATATTCTTGGAAGTTCTCTCTTGGAAATGTGTTTCATGTGAATCTGATGGACCACATAGCTCAGTGTCAGAACACAGAAAGTGTTAGGGTTGCTCCATGCTGTTCCTGTTGATTAGCCTACACTCAAAACTAAGTCCATAGTCAAGGAAGAGTTGAGAGTATTGAGACTACCAGTCTGGAGATGAGAGGATTCATGGGGACACAATTACTGCCTTCAAATGTCTGAATGGCCATCTAACTCTCTGGGTTTGGCCTTAGGGGAGCAGAACTAGGACAAATGAGTGGAACTTTCAAGAAAAACAAAATTTGCAATATTAGGAAGAATTTCCTATTAACTGATACTTGGAGTGGGTTTCCCCAGGAGGCATAAACTCCCTATCACAAGAATTGTTCATCAGAAGCCAGGTGGTTACTTGGGAGAGAGTGGCAGAAGAAAGACAAACATTAGGTGGGCAGGCTGGGATAGCTAACTATTGACGTTCTTTTCAAACCCAGTCTTAAGTATCCTGGGAATCTAAACCCTTCTTAGTCTTAAAATCACAAATAGATAAAAAAAAAAATTTCCAGAGTGTCTTACAACCTAGCAAATACAGTTTAAACTTCAGTTTATGACTCAGGGATAGCTTTAAAGGGACGTCAGTTATGAACTCTGACATAAATGGCCAAAGGTCATGAGTTGCTGAGTCCTTGTGCCTTCTATTTGCAGTTTTTAGTGCCCTTCCCTTTAATCGGGCTGTGCATTCTCACACCTTAATGCTCCCTTGTTGCAAATGGGGTGCCTGACTTGAATCCTGTCATCCTTATCTCTGGTTTGCTGCTGCCACATGCGCTGAAAACTCCAGATATCCAGAATTGGGTCTCGCTGAATTAGGGCCAGAATATTCTCCTCGACTGATTAAACTACTTGGACTTTTGGATGCAGATTGCAGCTGTAGACATACCTCTTTTCATATGCATTCTTCTTGGTTTTAAGAAGTAGTAAGTCGAGGCTAGTAGATAAATGACCACCAAATAAGTGAAGTATTGATACATAAATTCCTTCTTACTTGAAACAAGTAAATGCTCTTATCTGCCGTTTCTTCCATTCTCCCATAGCCTATTTAGTTTCAGTGCATTTATCATTTAACTAGATTACAAATGGAAATAGGAGTGGTGCTACAGTAAATGGGAATTCTCACAATTTGCTGTTCATATAAGTTTATTTGCACATTAATTTTATAAGAAAAATTCTTAACTGTGATTTACAGAAGGTGACGTTTCAAAAGGCCCTAGAACACTCTGTCAAGACAGCCCGCTTGCCAATCCAGGAATACATGGTCAGACGTCAGAACGGAAAAAATTATCATTCAGAGATACTGGCCATCAATCAAGGTACTGTTGACATGGCCCACACCCAGCATGTTTGTTCTAATGCCATGTCTTTGCATTTTATCTACATATAAATGGCCCTTGAAGAGGTCTCTGACTGCTTGCTTGGGCTTTATTGCATGCTCTTCTGTCATGTATTCTGATCAGTTAGAGGCGTTTTGCATTTTCTTCTTGTTTCTCTGATATAGTTGAAATTGTCCTCCTGGCTAGAATGCCCTGCCTTTAACCCACCATTAACCCATGAATTCCTCCTTGTCCTTTAGGATTCAGTTTAGGGGCATGTTGTTTGTTTTACTTTTTATTTGCTTTTGTTAATTTATTTTTTCTCGTTCCCCACCTTTCTGGTTTTCTTTATTTTTCTTTGTAATTTTTAAATGTTTCAACAACTTCCTGGATTCTCACCCGTTCCCGTCCCAGGCTATGTCAGGGTCCTTCCTTTGTCTTCCCTCTGTACTTGTGAATGTGTATCCATTCACAAGCCCCTCTCTTGGTGTAGGCTGCTTTTCTGTGGACCAGCAAGGCCTGTATCTTGCCTTTTGTCTACCCAGGATCTGGTAGTACTGTGTATGGTACAGAATAGGTTTGTTGAATGAAATATTCCAGAATACCCATTTTTCACTAGTCATTTACTAGTTCCTTTTTCCCTGTGTGGTCACTGTGTTTTCTGTTTACCCTTTTAACAGTGTTTGATATCCTGTCTACTTACTTTGAGACTCAAAACTGGCCTGAAGCATTGAAGAAGGGGGTTTCTTGCAGAAAAGGCTATGTTCTTCGGAACTCAGTGGAATGATGGACAGCCAAAGATTGCAAGTGCAGGTGGCGAAGTTGCTGTAGGGGCCTTGACCAAGAAACAGAGCAGAGGGTAGCAATGGCACACATGTGCCTTTATTTGACATCTTGGCTCTTCAATAGAAATAAGTTACTAATAACAGGGACCACATTTTATGCCCTATTGTATTTCCCATAGTGCCTGGCTCACAGGAAGTGCCGAGATAAATGTTGACTAAGAAAAAGTTTACATAACAAGGAATTAGCCCTAAAATGACATGGCTTTGGATGTGTTGATTCATCTTTTATATATGTATTTGTGGAAAACCTTCTCTTTATATAATCATTATATTGAGTTTATTTCATACTAAACTGACATCATAGTTGTACAACTTTCTCCAATCTCCTCTGATCATGCTGACTTCTCCAACTCAGTAATATGCTGTACAAACCCTAGCCCTGTTTTAAGCCCCATAGTACTTTTTTGCGGCCTGTGGCTCCTGCCCTGTTCTCCCTTGTTCTAAGAAGGTGTAGCGCTTCTTTTTTTCTAATGGTAGCCCCCTAATGGGACCATCTGTGAGAGTATCTTTATATCCATCTGAACCTCATATATTCTTCACAAATATTTGTGATGAACCGGTCAAATTGAAAAGCAGATATACAGCATTAAGTTTTAATTTGAAAGTGGCTGGAAAATACATTGCCTCTAATGGCAGCATATTAGATAACCTTACTACACAAATCTCAGTGATCCCTCTTTGCTTATGTCCTAGTTAAAGTTGCTTCAATTACTTAGGCTAGTTTGGTTAGTAAACTTTATAGCTAAGCTGCTAGCAAATTCAGAAAACATTCTGTATCTCAAAAAAAAAAAAAAATCCCAAAAGTTTATGTCTCTGCTCTGTTCCCTCCCTGTCACAATTTAATTCCTCACAAATTAATCACAATTTAATCCCTGTGATCACTTGATAAATTTTTCTCTTTTTATTATTTAAGAACAGCTCCATCTTCAGGAAACATCTCTTTTAGGACTATGTAATGCGCCTTGGCCTTTAACATCATATCTACTGTTGATAAACCTGCCATTCAAAAAAGACCCTCTATGGATGGTTTCAGGGGTCTGCAACTTTCATAGTCTCAGGAAGGTCTCTGAACCTAGAACCACTAACCCACATCACTTGCCAGGCTTCATTTTGACTTCTAAAGTCTTTGTTTAAAATAGCAAATAGCATGGAAGAATATCCTTTCCAACTCTGTCAAATCTCAACCAATTTTTCAAAACCTAGGTAGGGTAAGTTTTTTGTTTGGCTATTAGGAAATGATCTTAGCAAATTTAAGATTTGACTGGACTTGGATATCCAACTTATTTTATAGATCATAGTATTGTTTATAAAGCAACAACAAAAACTGGACCTAATCCAAAAAACTGGACATGTCCTGTAAGATGAAAATAAAATACAACTACTGAATTTTCAGTTAAAGATCATAAAATTGATGTATTGAATGTTGTTTGAAACAGACAAATAGCATATAAGATATAACCTTCTATTTCCAATTTGGAAAACATACATTACCACAAAGTGGCTGAGAATGAGGCCAAGTTAAGGTCTGCCTAGTTCAACAGAAAGATAGTTGTCTTTCGCAAAGTTAGTAAGAATAAGTGAACTCATCTATGCAAAAAACTTGGAACAATATTTAGTACACAGCAAATCTACTATAATGGTTAGCTGCTACCCACTAAATAATGGGATTATAGGCAGGTTTTGTTTGCCTTTTTGTGCTTTTTATGTGTTCTACATTTGCCTTCGTGAACATGTTTTACTATTATCAAAAAATGTTATTTTAATGCTCACTTCCAGTTTATCATAACAGCTATCCTCTAGCAAAACTAAGGAAGTTAACATCAAATAAACCATGAATACTAACTTTAGTAAACTTTATTGTAAAAAACAAAAAAAAAAAAATTGTTTTACTCACCCACAAAAAAATGGGTGGCAACCAGTACTTTTTAATAAAAATTTTAGGAGTCTTGTCTTCAGCAGATTTAATAGGGAGAGGTACACCTGAAAAAAAATTTCCCCAGGAAACCCACAGTTTCTTGATTCAAAAAGCCCACTTAGATCAACTTTCTGCCAATCTGGAAAAGATCTGTTTTCTTTGATCTGCTGTCATGTGTTCACAAGCTTCTAAAATGTTTGCCAAAATTAAAGTCTGCTGAATGGTTTTTGCTTTTACCCATATTCTTCCATTCATTCCAAAAACAATCTCCAGTGGATAGAGTTTTCCTACCTCCTGTAGGATTTCACAGTCTGGTGCTAGTAGCCTGGTGAAGAAGAAAATGAAATTTAATAAAAAGTGGTAAGTGTGGTCTGATTCTCCTTTCCTGGACAGTTCTCCAGTTTTTCAAAGCCCCACCAGCATCACTCCAAGAACAAGGCACATGACATTGCCCTTTTTCTTCCAAGCAGCTTTATACTTGTCACTTTATCAGAGGTCATAACAGTAGGCTGTCTTCTACAAAGATAAACTCCCTTGTGTCACCAACTTGTCAAAAAACGTTCAAAATTCTACGTCAGAGCACCTTAATTCTAGACTTTAGAAACCACTTTTTTATGATGTATGGGGTTCAAAGAACACTTTATTTTCCTAAGTTATTAAATTCAGTATTTAAAGAGGAATGTTAACTATTTTGAACCTCGAAGGTTAATAACATACTTCTCTCATTTCTTGAACTAACCTCCAAAACTGCAGAAAAAGTAGCAAAAAGAGACATGCAAGATAGCTCTGAACCCCAGTAGCTCTAGGAGCAAAAGCCTTTAACAGGCTTAGCTTTGGGGAGATAAAGGTCTAAACACCTAACAAAGAGTTCCTGCTACTGGGAACTGTTTCATCTACCAGGACAGTTTATCAGAAGTTATCCATGAATGTCTGCATAAGTTCAAAGATCCTATCAGCTAGCTGTATTTGGCTTCTCTTATTAGATTTGTGATTTTATGTAGTAGCAAATCGCAAAAGCCAGTACACAGGCTATAGGGAGTAGTAGACCTTCCAGGAGAGAAGCTCTCACTTCATGTCAACACAAAAATGATATCACTAAATACATATAAATTCAATGTACTCACATTAAGAAAGGATGAGACTATGCATGGCTTACAACTGTGCTAAAATGGATACTGATTTCAACTTTGAGGATATTCGTACACTTACAAAACAATCCAAATTCCAAAGATTAGTCAACTTTCTAAGACAGTCTAATTATAAAAGAAAACAGGTAAGCCAGAAGGCATTAGAACTTACTTTCTAATTAAGCCTAAAGTCACTTTAAAAAGCAGACCATCCTGTCCAATCACACCCATTCCATTGGCTCGTCCACAGCTGTCAATACAGACCATCTCTGGTTCCATATCTTTATTAGCAACCACAAACTGGCCATAGATGAGATCGCCAACCTACAATGAATTAAAAAACAGTTCATTTCCTCTCAGCAAACCATTCCACAGATGCTGTTTTGGTTCTTTCCCACAGGCAGCAATGCCAGCCACCTACAGTCCTGTGACTAAAGACTGGCTATACACCAGGATTCCCAGTCACTCCCGAACTTACTTAAAAAGAAGGCAAAATTAACACTTGTACTATCCCCGCTTCATCCACCAGGAAATCCCCAGACTGGTAGCCCTCCAAAGCCAGAGAACATACACATGGTGGCCATTGCCCTCAGGCAGTTATTTAAGCAAATTTTATTAAAATTAGATGTTTAAAATCAGCTCTTCAGCTGCATTAGTCACATTTCAAGCATTCAACCCCAAGTGTGGCTAGTGGCTACTGTACCAGGGAGTAACAATGTAAAACACAAGCCTCATCACAGAAAGTTCTATTAGATAGCTCTGCCTTAGGGAATTATGGGATAGACTGAAAGAAGAAACAGCTGGTAAGAAAATTATTCAAAGTACAACGGAACTATGGTAATTCACTGGCATTTCTCTGTGCAAGATTTACTTACAAACCTCAGAGTTCAACTTCAAAATGATGAAACTAAGAAAATGGAGAGTGTACTTGTTTTGTTAAGTACCAACTATTTGTTGATGACTATAGGAACTAGAAAAGAACAACGTTCTCTGCTTTTCAGAAGCATTTAGTCTCAGGGCAAAGGGATGTACACTAAACAATAAACTTCATTCAAGGCTGAATATAGTAGGTGCTGGAGCAAAGTTAAAAGTGACTGAAGATTACTGATGGTTTTAAGAGGCTGTGGTGTGTAGCCTGGGTCTGGAAATATAAGCAAATGTTCCACAGGCTAAGAAGGGGGTAGAACAATCCAGATGGAACAGCATGAGTAAAAGTAAAAGGGCAGAAAATCATGACTTCAGTAATGCTGTTAGTCTGGCATGACTCAAACATGGCTATGTGGAATACATAATTATGGATAATGGAAAAATCTATGGAATAAGATCAAGAAGATCTGTAGCCTTTGAAGAGGTTTTTTGTGTGTTTTTTCTTTCCCTGAGGAATGCATGAGGCTATCAACTCTCAAAAGTCTGGGTGGGGGTGGGGGGGACCACAAAAGTGTATTGGCAGAGATGTTAATGAGGAAGTCTTTGACTAAGTCTAGTAGCTATGGATCAAGTCAAGTGGTAGCTAAGGCCAGGGGTCAACATGAGTAAGATCAGAGATAGGATCGATAAGATCAAGCAACTAAAGAAACATGACAGATGAGTGAGACAGGGTAAATTTCTGGTTTGGGTGGACAGGAAAATTGCAAACGTTACCTAAATAGCCCAAATAAAAAACCTGAGGTAACTAGATTGCTCCCCTGTCAGTTCCAAGAAGGGACTGTAGGGAAACAAAGTGATGTGACTGAAGTAAGTTACGGGGTACTAGGAGGAAGGACTGGTGGCTGATAGGGCAATCTGCACTTTTCTCTCCTTGCACCTATGACTTATTTACTTATTTGTCCAGTGGCTGTGGACATAACAGGTAACAATGGAGAAAAGATAAAATGGTTCAACTCCATAGAGATGAAACATCCCCAGTGCAGCAAACGTAAAGTAAGTACATAGCTTTAACCCCATGTTGGCATTGCAATGGAGCCTGGAGAAATGACACAGATGCTTGAAGATCATCCTATAGAACTGGAAAATAGATCATGCTCTAAAGGCAATTCAGGTAACATTCTGGATATTTGAATGTTTCTGGATATCAGAATGTTTTTCTTACTTTGGAAACCAAAGATTCCCATCATTACCTGTACATTTGGTCTGTTTCTTTTAGTTGCACCTTCAAATGCCAAGTAAGACAAAGAAGCTGGCTCACTCCCTCCAACATCAACTTTGAAAATATCTCCAGATTTAGCTGTAACTATGCCAATCACATGGTCTCCTTTCACTGGGACATACTATAAAACAGAATAAGAAAATCATAAATGACAATCATTTCCAAGGTATCTTGAAAAATACCTTAACCAAGTCCTAAGTGATGACTTTCTTTTAACGTTAAGACAACAAACCTTGCCACAAACTTAATACGCCACTTTCCGTACAAAAACAATCTGTCATAAACTCTAGTAGTCTATATTAACTTGAACTAGTATTCCCTACCTGTTCAGTATCCTCCTCAGGAAGTTCCTAGCTTGTGTTTGTACATTAAGGGCACCGGGGTCCTTAAAAGCAAGTAAGGTTTTTTGTTAGACTATTCTTCCTCCATGAAAGTTCTAAGAGAAATTTTATTTCTTGTGACATCTATCAATGAGCCTAGCTCCGCTCTTTGGGACCGCAAAAGATAACCCTGGTGCTTCCTGACCTTTGGAATTTTGAAGACTATGATTATATCTCACATGATCTCACATTATTCCCTTCTGCAAACACTTCCAGACCCCTTTCCCTCCCGGTCGCCCTTCTCGGGTCACGTTCCATCTAAAGGAGCCGCACAGGTGGGCACAAGACTACAGCGTGGCCTTAGGCTAACGTCACTAGGGGCACCCGTGCCCCTTTTCAGAAGTGTTCCAGAGCGGGGATAATCTCATTAGTGGCAGCTCACCCGCTTCTGCTGCGAATCCACCCAGTAAACGCCACCGCTGCCACCGCCGCTGGGCTCCTTGTGACGGAGGCGGCCGCATTTGGTGACCAGCAGGCGGTCGCCACAGCGCCGCAAGCCGGGACCGCACACCACGCGCACCCGGGAGCGGGTCCCGGCATTCAGGCGCAGCGGCCGCTCCCCGGCACCTCCGGGGCCTTCCGCGTCCTCCTGCTCCGGTAGCAGCAGCTCCTCACCCGGGAGCACCACCTGATCCAGAACAGTGCGCGCCGCCCGCGCCCTGCCACTGGCCAGGGATTCCGCAGAGACAGCAGCCGCCTCAGCCATGGCGAGCGCCACCAAACACGGCTTCCGGCTTCTGCCACGCTTCCGCTTCCGGTTTCTGCTTCCGTCTCCGCATCCAATCGCCGGCCAGCGCACGGATTTCCGTTTCCGGCAGTAGCTGTCGGAAGGACTTGAACCGGCTTCTAAGAAAGCCTGAAAACTGCGGGCCAAGTCTGCAGATTGTGCCGCTAGCCCACGATTTATCCTGCAGTCTCTCTGCAAGGCGCTAAGAGAAGCACGCGACTTGAGCCTCCACTTCCCGTGGGGGGCAGGACCCTCCCACCCGGTTCCAAGTGAACACTGAGCTTCGGAGCTTCCAGAACTGGCAGTCTCCACCGACTCCACCCTCAGAAAACCTCTTTGATTGTTGCTAGCGAAACTGGCTCTTCATGTTGTGGAAAACAGAAAAGAAGAAAACGTTGTCTTGTGCCCGTTTCTCTCCCTTGCTAGGCTGTTAGTTTGTTCTCATTCTTTGTAGTTCAATGGGTAATACCTGATGAATGAATGTTAATATTTTAGTGTGTATTACCCCTAGACCTTTTTTAACCCTGCACACATCACTTGTACATATATATATATATATATATATAAAATTGGAGCTAGCCCTGCCTGGTCTGGGAAAATCAACTGTAGTTAAATCTTTGCAGCTCTTTTATTTGGCACATTTCACCGGCTTATGTGAGAAGTAACTGACTTCCAAATCCAAATCGCTTCAGAGTTTTGCTCTACTGAGTTTTAGGGCTCTTACTTGAAATCAAGTCAATTCAATGTCAAATAGCACCTTCATATAGTGCCACTGGAATCTTGGTCAGATTCCCCAGCAGAAGTGAGAGCTCCTGGGGAATGGGAGGACTTAGCTCTAACAGATGGCTTTTCTCAGTCCTCCATTTTTATGGCCCATTTCTGAGACATCGCTTCCAAAGTGAATTTTTTAATTTTTGGATGTTTACAACAGGTCATCCCTAACATAACATCCAAATTTGACAACATGCTAGCAAATAAGTAAATAAGAGAAAGGAGACCAATTAAAATGTAGCTTGTTTTTGTGGTCAGACTGTTGTAAGAACTACTCTTGATTCGTTTCCTCCTCCCCACTCCAACCCAGTTCCAGAGTCTAGAACCGGTAGGTATTTGAAGAACAAAATCGCCTACATCATGGCTGGCCCGAGGTTATGCCTAAAGGGTGCTCAAGGACTTCCATCCCGTCAGGCTGGGGACATGGTTCCTGAATTGTCCCTCACATATCCCACATCGGTTAAGGAGTCTCTGTAAGAAATAACCCAAACATGGCTGAGGAGACCCATCAAGGCCACCTCCGAGTGGGTGCAGCACGTGGTCATTTGTCTGGATCCCTCTCAAATCAACATAAAAAAAAAATAAAACTATGGGGGCCTCCCTGGTGGCGCAAGGGGTTAAGACACAACCTATGAAGCTGTCCGCAGCCTCTGCAGCACGAGTTCGATCCCCAACCAGGGAGCTAACCAAATGGCGCAGCAGACCTCTCCTGCCTCGCCCGCTTCTCCCCTCAGCAGTGTATTTTGTCACTCTGCCTGTTCTGTTCCCCGCTCTGTCTCTGGTGAATCCTCTCACCCCCCACATCTCTGGCCTGTACCCCAGTTCTTGTATACATAGGTAAATAAATCTTTAAAAAAAAAACCAAAAAACAAAAAACACTGTGACCCCAGAGGAGGCCTGTGGCCGGGAGACCGGAAGCTCGGACTGGGAGGGCGGGACGGCGGCCTCGCTGGCCACGCCCCCTCCCGCACGCCGGGGCGGGCCCAGAGGACGCGGGCGGGAAGGCTGCCTGAGCGCTTACCGCGTGCCGCCATGTCCGCGCTTCAGCGTCTTCTGGTTCTGCGACCACCGGTGAGTGGGAGCGCACAGACCTGGGTCGGCGGGCAGGGGTCTGGACACACGAGGCCTGCTGTGGGTAGGTACACAGCTGAGGCCTGAAGCGACTGTGTGAAGCCCGGGCCCGAGCCACCTCCCAGGACTTCGTCGGGGCGCTTTTCTCGCCAGGGTGGCCCCGCGGGGTGTCGGTTACAAAATTCGCATTTCCCAACCCCACGTACTGCTTTTTCTCAGTGTAAAAGAATGCAGCGGGGCCCATGCAGTCTGCTGGTCCGCCGGTTCTCTTTAGGGGTTTTGCAGATTTGGAGTAGCTTCAACAGCCTCAGGCGACCCCTTCCTGTTTCTGAGCAATCCCCTTGTGGAAATTTCCAAATTGCCTATAGAAAGGTTGAACCAGACCGAGGTCTCCAAGTCTCTTTCTCGAACCTCTCTTTAGAAATCGATGCTTTAAAAAAAAAAAAAAAAAAAAAATTGGGCCTCCCCCCTGGTGGCGCAGGCGGTTGAGCGCAGCGCTGTGAAGCTGCCCGCAGCCTCTGCAGTGAGGGTTCGATTCCCGGGCGGCCAGGGAGATTCCCACACAGCGCTGCAGACCTCTCCTGTCTCGCCCGCTGCTCCCCTCAGCAGTGTATTTTGTCAGCCTGCCTGTTCTGTTCCCCACTTTGTCTCCGGTGAATCCTCTCACCGTCCGGGACGTCTGACTTGTCCCGGGTTCTTGTATGTATGAATAAATAAATTTTTTTTAATTATTTATTTATGCATACAAGAACTGGGGTGTAGGCCAGCGGTGGTGGTGGGGAGATTCACCAGAGACAGTGGGGAGCAGAACAGGCAGACTGACTGAAATACACTGCTAAGGAGAGCAGCGGGTGAGACAGGAGAGGTCTGCTGATCCATATGGGTTAGCGCCCTGGTGGGGCATCAAACTCCTGTGCCACCACGGAGGCCCAGACATCTCTGCTTCTTGAGAAGTTGGAAAGTTGCTTTTCTTTTGTTGACTGGTAAGGTTGGGCATTTCCCATTTTCTATCAACAACACTATTTGGGTGTTTGCCGTCAGCCTGGAATTGAGCTGGCCGGTCAACTGAATTCATGCTTCCACATGCAACCATGAAAATACCAAGTGTTACAGCCCTGAGAGTGCAAAGGATGAAATGGTTACCTCTGTGGGAGGAAGGTAGGAATCAGGATAGGTGTCCTATGGGAAGTAATATTTGAATTGCAAGGAACCAAATGCTGATGTGTGTACAGCAGTTAATAGTAAAAGTATTCAAAAAAAAATAGTAAAAGTATTCGTAGAAGTACTTTAATAACTTGTGTAAAGGATTTATCATAAATGCTCATAAGTATCACTGTACAAAGGAGCACGTAATTAGCATTATACGTGTTTTTAACCACAAAGAATTGTGGCTAGTGAGAACTAGAGAGAGCTTTTTAAAAATGTAAGAATAGCAGCTATGAGGAGCAGCTATGACCTCTAGTACTGTGAGAACCTAAGGAAGAGCCCCTCCTTGTCCAGGACTGACCTAAACCTTATTTGAATGGGCTTGACCATGGCTCAGTAAATGGCAGGAAGTCACTGGGAATCTGTGCAAGTGGAACTGCTAGAAATCCACCCTCCAGAACATGCTGAAACTCCTAGGGTGCTAGGGAAAGCTGATCCTCGGGAGTTGCCTCCTGGAAGCCTCTGTTAAGAAACTGCCTAATAGGGTGCTACGGAAAACTTCTGGCTGCTTCTGGCCACCAGATAAAGCAGGAGCAGATGCTAGAGAAGCTGTCATGCTGCAAGAATACTAGAAAGTGCCTGCTGTGCCTTTGCAGGGCCTTTTACCTACTAAGTTTATCTTCATGATAGCAAAGGAATGATGATTTTAAGGCTCAGATCAATTTTGTCAGAGCAGGCAGTGAGGGGTGACTTCAGAGCTGAATGGTACATAGATAAGTGGCGCAAGTATTTGTCATAAGATCAACAAACTCAGTTGTAACAGCAGTTGTAAACAGCAGTTTATTGAAACTGATCCTAAAAATTTTTTCACAAATCTAGGGGATACAGGGTAGTTAAAAAAAAATCTTGAGAAAGAACAAAACTGGGGGGTTCACTTCTAATTTCAAATCTTATTACAAGGCTTATAATCAATCAAGACTGTAATACTAGTGTAAGGATAAATGCAGATCAGTGGGATGGAATTGAGAACATATAAGTAATTACCCTCACATTTTGATCAACTGATTTTCAATAAGGGTGTCAAGACAATTCATCAGGGAAAGCATAATCTTACAAGTGATGTTGGGACAACGGGACATCCACATGCAAAAAAATGAAGTTGGATCCTTCTTTCAAACTGTTAACTCAAAATGAATCAAAAACCTAAATATCAAAACTAAAATTATAAAGCTCTCAGTAGAAAGGATAGAGATGGCAGTGGTTTTGCAGATATGACGGTACCTAAAGCACTAACGCTGAATGAAAAATGCAGGAAAATACTTAAAATCAGAAAATTTTGTGCTTCAAAGGCCACCATCAAGAAAGTAAGCAGGGGGGCCTCCCTGGTGGCGCAGCAGTTTGAGCGCAGCGCTGTGAAGCTGTCCACAGCCTCTGCAGTGTGGGTTTGATTCCCAGCTGGCCAGGGAGATTCCCACATGGCACAGCAGACCTCTCCTGTCTTGCCTGCTGCTCCCCTCAGCAGTGTTTTCAGTCCTTCTGCCTGTTCTGCTCCCTGCTCTGTCGCTGATGAATTCTCTCACCCTCCTGTGCCTCTGGCCTGTACCCCAGTGCTTGTATAAATAAATAAATAAATAAATCTTTAAAAGAGAGAGAGAGAGGGGAAAGAAAGGAAGAAAGAAAGAAAGGGCCTCCCTGGTAGCACAGGGGTTAAAGACAGTGCTATCAAGCTACTGCCAGCCACTACAGCACAAGTTTGATCCCCCGGCTAGCCAGGGAGCTCACCCACATGGCGCAACAGACCTCTCCTGTCTCGCTCACTGCCCCCCTCAGCAGTGTATTTTAGTAGATCTGCCTGTTCTGCTCCCCACTTTCTCTAGTGAATCCTCTAGCCCCCCACACTCTGGCTTACCCCCCAGTTCTTGTATGCATAAATAAATAAATCTTGAAAAAAAAGAAAGTAAGCAGATGACCCACTGATTAGGAGAAAATATTTGAAAATCAAGTATTTGACGAGGAACATGCATCTAGAATATATAAACAACATTAAAACTTGATAAAAAGACAAATGACCCAATATTAAAATAGTCTGAAGAGATGTATCACCAAAGAATATGTGAATGGCTAATACGCACACGGAAAAAAACCATTTCATCCCCACTAAGATGGCTTAATGAAAAACAGATTAAAACAAGTGTTGACAAGGTTGAAGGAATACTAGAAGCCTCATGTATTGTTGGTGAGAGAGTAAACTGATGCAGCCACTTTGGAAAATAGTTTGACAGTTCCTCAAAAAGTTAAACATAGAGTTACCATATAATATGGCAGATCCACTCCTAGTATATACCTAAGGAAATTGAAAATCTATGTGTCCATGAAAACTTGCACATGAATGTTCATAGCAGAATTATTCATTGTACCTAAATAACTGCATGCAATGCAAATGCCCATCAGTTGATGAATGAGGGAACACAAAATGGGATGTATCCATTCAGTGGAATATTACTCAAGCATAAAAAGGAATTAAAATTATTAATATATTCTACAACATGGATGAACCTATAAAACTGTGGTGACAGAAACTAGATACAAAAGTCCACACATTTTATGATTCCATTTATATGAAATGTCCAAGATAAGCAAATCTAGAGTGAAAGTTGATTAATGGTTGCTATGAGCTGGGGGAAAGGAGATTCTAGGTTGGAGTTCATGTTAAAAAGTGTCTAGGAGAACAGGAATACCAGTCCTGAGATTTGTGGATTGGCCTTGGATTTAGATGGGATTTAAAAAGTGCTGTGGAATTTTCATGCTTGGCAATAAGCTTGAATATAGCATAGTACAATGGTTATGAGTGTGGACTCTGGAGCTCCCTGAATTTCAGTCTTCACTCAGCTATTTGCAGGCTCTGTCGCTTCTCTTTTCTGCCTGTGTTTTTTCATTTCTGAAATGGGAATAATAGTACCAACATAACTTGAATTTTGATCATATAATCATATACGGTCACCAGAACAATGTTACTCATATATTAAATATTGTATGTCTTTGCTCTTATTTTTTAATGTTACATATATTACATGAAGAAGCACTTCTTTCCTGAGTATTTTGTTTTCTTTGAGTTAGTAAATCCTCCCTGATTCAAAGGACACATTTTCTTTCTTGGTTGTCATTCTAATTTTTCTTGTCAGTGCATGAGTTCTATCTGAAGTATTGTGAAACCAAGCAATCATACTACATGGAAACTGAAACTTGAGAGGTGATTCTAGTACCTTGAAGGGACCTCCACAGCAGGATCCAGGGTCTCATGAACAAGTCTCAGCTATTCTTAGTCCTTTTTCTAGTCACATATTCTAGTACCACCAACTTCTTAGCCTCTACCCTGAATCTTTTCTCTCCTTACAGCTGCAGCTTACTCGTGATTTTTCTCATGCCTTTCTGTGCTCGTGACCATCATATCTCCTCACTCTGCCTTGTGACTTTGCAGTCCCAACTATCATTGCCAACTAGTTCACTTCTGATTTTCCAATTCAAATCCTAAGAGTGTGAATCTGCGTGGGCAGAGCTTTTTGACCAGGCAGCCTCATAAACCAATGCCAGTTTATGGTTTGGCTACTCAAATACTTGCTCCACACTGGCTGTGGATAGGGAAAGCTGGGAAAACGACCAAGTTTCCAGACAAGACCTTTCCCTTAGTGGGATGTAGATGCTGGCAGAGAAGAGGGGCGAATGTCAGGCAGGTAGACTACTATAGTATAGTCAACAGGGGCAACTGAAGGTTTTCCAAGGGTTTGAGGGCAACTATACAGATATTTTTGTGGGTTTAGTATTGAAATAAATGTAAGCAGATGTCAAATTGATAGATCCAAAGTATACCCCAATATACTTTTATCACACCCTTGTTTTAAACTTGTAACGTTTTACTTTTATAAATACATAGTGTTTACTAAATGCAAATTTCTGCTCCTAGCACTTTATGGGTATATACTCATTAAATCTTCACAACAGCACTCTGAGTTTGGTATTATTACTGTCCATACTTATACAGATGAAGAAACTGAGATAGAAAAGGGTGACCTGCCTGAGGTCACACAGTTGGTAAGCAGCAGAGTCAGAATGTGGACCCAGGCCCTCTGACTTCAGATAGCCCTACCTTATACAATCTCTCACTGGCTCAGATTTTCTGATCTGACTGAGCTTTCTGGAAAAGCATATTCTGGATTATCTCCCACTCCCTATCAGAACCTTGTATGCTATGGGGCAAGAAAGGGCGACTATTCAAATTTGTTTGTTGCCCACTCTTCGCTTAGAGTATTATTTTTTACATTTTTTCAGTTAGATTTTTTTTTTAAGAGACAAAGTGGGAAGAACATAGACTTTGGAGTCAGTTCTGATTTGAATCCATATTTATTGAATCAAAACATTTATTTGTTTGAGCTAACCTACTTGATCCTTAGTTTTCCTGTGTATAAAATGCAAGATTGCTGGGAGTGTGTCTAATAGCGCTAGCACGTATTAGCAGCAGATAGTAAAATTCTGACAGTCACTTGGTAGACTTAAAAGGGCTGCAGAAAGCCTTCATGGCCATGAAGAACTCCAGAAGTTTCATTGGTAGTAGGTGGTATATGAACTGGACTTTAGGGTAAGTATTGCAAGTATGTTCCTTGGGCCACCATGCCTTCCTACCTCTTTCCCATGCCCCTATTACAGGTTGATTATAGCATTGAGTCTTGTTGAGTCCTGAATCTTTTTCATGGTTGCTTAAGGCAGGGAATTGTAATAAATCTGAGTTGGGCCAGGATGTGGAACCTGTTTACCATCTTTGCTTTAAGCCCAGATGATACAGACTTGTTATCCAAGCCTCTCCTTCAGTAGCCTATCCACACCTGTCTTTGTTTCCTTTCAGTCTCTTCTTCGTCTTATGACAAATAGGTTTTGGAAAAAGTTACCTGTGTTGACCCTGAACTCGCGCCTTTATGAGACTCAGCAGGAAGAGAAGTCCATACCCATCAGCCGTTATTCCATTCCCTACAAGAAGGACCTGCCTTTTGACATTGTAGAGCTCATGGAAGAGATAGAAATGAAGGTGAGACACTCTTATGCAAGAGGCAGGCAGAGTAGAATCCATGGAACTGGTTGCCCCATTCTGCCCAAGTTCTCATGGTGGATGAACTCTTTTGGGGTCTACATGTATCCCATTCAGAAGAACATAGATATTTTTCCTCTTATATTATGCACAGCCTCTTATGTTCTGGGATTCTGTCATCTAGTCCACTGCCCACCTGTGACTGAGGTGTGTTCTGTAGTTCCCATTAGCTCTGTTACTCGGAGTGGAGATAGAACCACTGAGATTTGTGCTAGCTACTTAAGTAAGTGTGAGAGGTATTTTGCTCTTTCCTGTAAAAAATATTTTAAAAATTATATCCAAAAAATTGTAAAATTTTTAAATAAGCAGAAAAATTAGAAATAATGAAAATAACTTTTTTTGTCAAAATCACTATAATGTTAACATTTTGATGTGCTTCCTTCTTCCTTATTTTCCTTATGTAAATAACATGCAACTTTTTTTAATGAGATCATATTGTCATCAACATTTTTCTAAGTCAAAACATCATTATATTTAGTGATACAGCATCATATAATACAGATGTTGTCATTTCAGTTATCTCCAAATCTCGGACATTTAGAATTTGTAATAGATGTTTATACATGTGACTTTTTGTACATCCCTGAATTATTTCTCTTTTTTTAAGGTTTATTTATGCTTACAAGAACTGGGGTACAGGCCAGAGGTGGAGGGGTGAGAGGATTCACCAGGGACAGAGTATGGAACAGAATAGGCAGATTGACTGAAATACACTGCTGAGAGGAGCAGCGGGCAAGTCAGGAGAGGTCTGCTGTGCCATGTGGGTAGTTCCCTGGCCAGGGATTGAACTCATGCTGCAGTGGCTGCAGATAGCTTCATAGGTTACATTTTAACCCCTTGCACCACCAGGGTGTACCCCTGAATTATATCTTGAGGGTAGTTTTTTAAAACTGATGCTCTTTGTTGCTAAATCATAATACCATCCTGTAAGCACATTTGCTTTAAAACCTTTGTTTTTCAAGCGTGGTGGTAGAATTTTGGTTTTTTATTTCCGAACAAAATCTTGTATGGAAGTCTAGTATTTAAAAAAGATAAAAATCTGCTGCCCAGGTGAGAAATTGTTTGGAGCTTCCACTTTCTCCCTCAGTACCACCAACACCTGTTTCTACCTAACTTCCTCCCCAACTGCTGCCCATTACTGATATATTGATAAATGTTTTTTAATACTATATCTACTAGAGCAATAATGAAAATTTAACATATGTTACCTGTTTTAGCTACAGGTAATAGAAAATCCAATTTATCTGGCTAATAGTTAAGGATAGTTCAGTGTCTCACATAATAGCAGGTCAGAGACAGGGTAATTCCTGAATTATTTAATCCAGTGACTCACTGACATCATTAACATTGGGTTCTTGCATTTGGGGCTGTATTTCTCACTGTGATGTCTCCGTGCTCAGATTTGTCCTCCTGTTTGTCAGTACATGACTATAAACCTCTCATCCTTGCACAACTTTATATTCCTTTTGGAGAGAGAAGATCGTTCCCATCTGATTTCTCCTTAGTTCTCATTGGTCATGTGCCCATTCCTTAACCACTCACTGACAAGTGGAATAGAATCTGGTTTAGATCAATCAGGATTCATCCTATAGAGTTAGGGAAGAGCTTAGTCATCCTTGAAACCCTTGGCAATCTTCTACCTGAACAACATCCAGGTTCTATTGTCAAGGGAGGAGAAAGAAATGGATGGAGAGTAGCAACCAACACTTGTCTGTCTTAGCATCCCACTAGAAATCATACTGAAAATCCAATGTCAAAAATCCCCTAGTTTCCTCTTTTGGTATGACCTGGGGCAAGTCATTCAACCTCTCTGGGCTTTAGTTTGCTTATCTGTTTTTTTTTTATATATAAAGATTTATTTTTATTTATTTATACAAGCACTGGGTAGAGTCAGAAGCGCAGGAGGGTGAGAGAATTCACCAGAGCCAGAGGGGAAAGCAGAGCAAGCAGACTGACAAAATACACTGCTGAGGGGAGCAGTGGGCAGCAGGAGAGGTCTGCGCACCATGTGGGACCCTCGCCCGGCAGCCGGGGATCGAACTGGCGCTGCAGAGGCTGCGGGCAGCTTCACAACCCAGTGCTCAACCGCTGCACCACCGGGGAGGCCCGTAGATTGCTTATCTGTTAACTGGGGATACTGATCACTGCCTTACCTACTTTACAGAGTTTTGGAGAAGGAAAAAGGTGACTAGATCTATGAAAGAAATTTACAAAGCACTAATATCAAGGCTTGTTGCTCATTTAATTCTTAAAAATAAATGAGCGCGTTCTCAGCAGTTGAGCGCTAGGCTGCGAAGCTGCCCGCAGCCTCTGCAACGCCGGTTCAATCCCCGGCCTCCAGGCGAGGGTCCCACATGGCGCACAGACTTCTCCTGCCGCCTGCTGCTCCCCTCAGCAGTGTATTTCGTCATTCTGCCTGCTCTGCTCTCCCCTCTGTCTCGGGTGAATTCTCTCACCCTCCCGCACTTCTGACTGTACCCAGTGCTTGTATAAATAAATAAATAAAATCTTAAAAAAAAAAGAAAGAAATGAGCGCCACCAGCCCCTCTGAAAAGATAAGAATCACTAAAATTAAAATTCTAAAACGTGTTATTTGTTTTAGTTATAACATTCTCTCTAAATTTCATAAAAAGACTTAACAAAAAGAAATCCCATACACCCTTAGAAGTGACACAGTAGGGCCTCCCTGCTAGTGTAGGGGTAAAGTCTCAGCGCTATTACTGCGATGGCCTGAGTTTGATTCCTGGCCAGGTCGCTGACCCACATAAAGTGCAGCAGACCTCTCCTGTCTCGCCCTCTGCTGCCCTCAGCAGTGTATTTCAGTGGATCTGCCTGTTCTGCTCCCCACTCTGTCTCTGGTAAATCCTCTCATACCCTGCACCTCTGGCGTACACCCCAGTTCTTTTATGCAAAAATAAATCTTTTTAAAAACAAAGTCACAGAGTACTCTAAAAAATGAAGGTACATGTATGTTTTGCTTTGATACCAAGGCTATGACCTTAAAATTGCATCTAACATTCAGCACAAGATATGGGGAGTACCAATTACTGTTTGCCTATTCTATGAATAGTTTTCATTCTATGTTTCTCTATTTTTTACCTTCCCTGCAGACAGGATTTTTACCAAATATATTTAAAGTATTGTCTCACCGGCCAGTGGAGTTCAGAGCCTTCTTTGCTTATTACAATGCCATCTGCAACAAAGAAACAGGTAAAGAGGGTGAGGGGGGATTGCTAAATTATTCTTGGATGAGATCCATATGACTATTTGCTCTGGTGATCTTTTTTTTTTTTAAGGTTAACAAAAGGTTTATTTATAAGAGAAGGGGAATAAGGAAATGTACAACTCAGGGAGAAAAGAAGGAGATAAATTCTTAAATGTGTCCTACCCGTTCTGCCAACCTGGAATTCCAAATGACCCACCGAGATCAAACCCGCTTGGCCAAGAGCATGAACCAAGTGTGCCCGACCCGACTAACATGGCTAGTTTTTATTTACAAACAGAGAAAATGGCTGCTTAACTCTGCCCTAAGGTTCTCGCAACTTCCCTTTGGGGATCCTGGGATTTTTAGTTCCGGTGTCTTGATGGAGTGGGGGTGGTATCCACAAAGCCTGTACTGTACGGAATTAGCTCAGGACATCATTTCCCCCTAGCTCTTCCCCACTTTCACTTTTTGCCATCGGGTGGTCATTCTTACAAAGTCCCAAATCACTGTGGAACTAAGGAAAAGCTCAGAAAGACTAATTGGTTAAGACATCATTTGGATTCTGAGACCAAGGGCTGAATGTAACTTATGATTATAGGTAGAGAACTAAGGCAAATTAGGTAATAACTCTGGCTCACTGTTCTTACCTTGGACTTAAAAGCCCTCTGTGGCTCCCTAAATAAAGTTCAGGGACTTTAACTTGGCAACCATAAATTTATTACTTAGGTTTCAGGTTAAGTTGTTGTTACTGAGACCCAAAGCTATACTGGATTAAATAAGATTCGCCCCTCCCCTCCCATATTACCTAGTAGGCCATATGTGAGCTGCTAAGGAATAGTGTAGTGTTGTTGACTGGGTTGTCTTTGCTCATTTATGCTGGCTTGCCACTGCTCACAGCAGAGAGAGAGAGAGAGAAGGGGCCCTTGCAGGTGTATGTCATTTCCCTTTAAGGTTATGACATGGAAGTAACACACAGAGCTTCCATTTACAACCCTTTGTTCAGAAGTTAGTCACCCTATCATATCTACCTGCAAGGGAAGCTGTGTGGCCATGTACCTGGCTAAAAATCAAGCGATTTTCTTACTAAAGGAAAAAGGGCGAATAGGTGCTAGGAGACAGTCTGAATGACTCCCCATGGCCTGACACACCAGCCTCCCTTCTCGGCATCATTTCCCCCAGCGCTTCATGTTCTGTCAGTTGGAGTCATTTTAGTCTCAGGACATTTCTGCTTTTATACTTTACTGGCACTTTACTGTGCCCTAGGATGCCTTTTTCCCTATCCATGCTTTAGAATATGACCTTTCCTTTAAAGTCCATCTCACCTGCCTTTATTTACGATGGGCTTTTCCTCCTCTGAGCTCCCACAACCACCTTCATCTTTACTTTTCCAGTGGCAATACAGAATGAGGTCTATCCTATCTTTCCACAGTTTCTACATCTTTTCTATCCTAGTGAGAAAAGACAGAGCTTATGTTTAGAACTGAGTTCTGCCATAAATAATGCAAATGAACTTCAGCAGAGTACTTAAATGTCTCAAGCCTTGCTTACCAGTAAAATGGATAGTTAATACTAACTGATAGTATTGGTACTGTTGGTATATAAAATGGTATTAATAATAATACACTGCAGAGCTGGTGTGAGGATTAAATAAGATTATAAATAAACAGTTACAGAATGGTATCAGTTTCCAAAGTGGATTATTTCCTCCTCTGTGTCTCTCTGCTTCTAAGTGGTAGGTCTTCTGAGTTTAGGAAATCTCTTCTTTAAACTCCACTTTTTAAAAGTGTTACTCTAGGGGCCTCCCCGGTGGCGCAGTGGTTGAGCGCTGGGTTGCGAAGCTGCCCGCGGCCTCCGCGGCGCCGGTTCGATCCCCGGCTGCTCCCGGCCACTGGAGGAGGGTCCCACATGGTGCGCAGACCTCTCCTGCCGCCTGCTGCTCCCCTCAGCAGTGTCCCTCGGTCCTTCTGCCTGCTCTGCTCCCCGCTCTGGCTCTGGTGAATTCTCTCACCCTCCCGCGCTTCTGACTGTACCCAGTGCATGTATAAACAAAAAACAAACGAACAAACAAATAAATAAATAAAGCATGCCTCTATTAAAAAATAAATAAATAAATAAAAAAATAAAAGTGTTACTCTAGTATCCGCTAGGCTTCAGAAAATGTCTCTTGACCACTGTATACCAGGGAGTGCTCTGGGGAAATAAGGTGAACAAATCAGAAAAATGTCTAGACTTTCAAACATTGTAGAGTGGAGAAAACAGCAAATAAATGAAATTTTTTAAAATTGACTTCAGAAAGTTGACATCCATTGAAGAAAATAAAATAGGAGGAGAGTTAGTAGTGTGGGACTGGGAATTAATACATAATTGAGTTGGCAGGTAAAGTATGTTCTTCTAAGCTGCCGGTCAGAACTTGTGTACAGGTCTCTTCTCACCTTCCCTAGGCCACCTCAGTAGAACTGACAAGGAACTCATCATTATGGTGACCAGTCTGGCTGACAGGTGCATGTACAACATAGTTGTCCATAGTGCCCGGCATAGGATCTTTTCGAAGAACCCAGTGCTCTCTGACCAGGTTAGTGTCTGCCTTCCCTGAGCCACTTTCAGGCCCTCCCTATATCTGAGGAAAGGGAAAAACCTACTGTATGGTACAGGGGACACACCTACAGCTCTTCCCGCCCAGTCCCATTACTGTGCCAGCCTGTCTTTATGTAGCCCGCTGCCTTTATGTATGCATGATGTTTGGGATTAGCAGAACCCCATCTCTGTTCCAGACTTGGTACTGGATCGCTGGCATACAGTTCTTAAAAATACATTATTACCTCTTACTCTAAATTGAACTTCTCACTCTGAACCATTTTATATTTGAGTTTCAGAGCTGTAACTTAACAGGGAACATACAACTGGAATGTGGCAGAATCCATTTTCAAAGCTTGCACTTTTGCTGCCCCAATCTGTCCTTAGCCCTTTCCATAGTGAATTTATGCTATCCATATGAGGAAAGGGAAAAACCTACTGTATGGTACAGGGAACACACCTACAGCTCTTCCCATCCAGTCCCATTGCTGTGTCATATCACAGTTTGCCGTGATATGACAACCAGCTATTCTTAGCTGGTTAGTGGTTTCCAGTATTTTGCTTCAGCAAGGTAACAATTATTAGTGTATAATAATTGAGTCTAATACTCTTGGATTCAGATTCCATCTCTGCCACTCTGTTTGAATGACCCTGATGAAGTCACTTCAGCTCTCTGAGCATCTTTTTTTTTTTTTTTTTGGCCAATAAAATCAGGGTGATGATAAAAAATACCACTTCCTAGGATTTTTATAAGAAATAAAATATGAAGCATGCACATTCTTAGCATGTAGTAATTGTTAAATGCCTATTTTTTGCAAATACTGTGTCTTGTTTGGGATCAATTGGAGGCAAAAGGATAATTATCTGAGTTTCACTTTTCTCATATTAAGGTTGGGGTTCTCATGTACTAAGAGTCTCTGACTCTTAGTTCTGAGACTTGATACCACAGGTATTTAGGGGAGAAAGAGATGCTTGCAGTTGGAATGAGCAAAGAAAGCTTCCTGGCAGACGTGGTGCTAAGCCAGACTTCCAAGTTTGCATCCCATTAAATTTGACTAAGATATTTATCCAGCTGAAAGTATCTTACTTTGCCCCTTTAATGTTGTGTTTTTTTTCCATTAACGCCCAATTTGTTAGCTCTTGTTTTTTAATTTGCTATACTGTGATGGTGAAAGATTCTAATTTCTGACCCTGTGTTTTCTTGCAGGTCTTTATGAATTGGAGAAAGTCTGACCTCCCTGCTCGGGAAAAGGCAATGCTGGAGTTTGCACTTGCTGTTTCCCAAGCTGATGACATAACAGATGACCATTTCAAAAAGCTTGAGATGCATGGCTTCAACCAAGAAGATGCCTGGGATATAGCTGCCATTGCAGCTTTTTATGCCATGTACAACCGCTTTGCTCTTTTTGTCAGTCTTGTACCCAACAAGGAATTCTATTTGATGGGCAGAACCAGTGATGTCAAAGACATCAGGGGGAAACTTGCTTGCCCACAAAATATAAAAGACTGACTGGAAAGAGCAGTGTATATATAAAGCATATTGCATTATATCATTTGGGAAGCAACTTTTTAAAAATACTAGTCAGTGGATAGTTAAATAAATTTGCTCCCTGTCTGCTTGATGAGATAGATTCTAAGTGTTGGGAGTATGCAGGCACATAGGATATGGGCCTAGAGCACACATTATAGGGAACCTTCGTTTACATTTGTTGTGGTCTAAGGATCATCAGGGGCAAGGACTTTCAAGGATGCTTCAGGCATTTCTGACAAACTAATCTCTGTGAATTTCAGCAATTTAAGTTGGAAATATTTTAGGATTCAAAAATAGTATTACATAGAAATTAGTCAGTATAGACTGATTTGAAATCAATTCCTTGTTAACATGGTTGAATTTAAAGGCTCTCAAAGGCAGTAAATAAACAGTTAATTAATTTCTAGTGATTTATTTTTACTGACAGGTTGTAAAATCATTGTCATCTCAGTAAGGATTTCATTTTTAGGTAACTTATTATTTTAGGTGTTGGGGAAAAAAAAAAATTCCAGTAATTGAGCATGTGCATTTTAAGTAGATGCATAACAAGAAAAAAAAGCCTGGCATCTGAATGACTTGTTCTTTGTGTTACAACCACCACTGTCTTAAGTCTGTGACTGTCTTAACTTTCAAAAATTATTTTTATTATACAAGTGGTAAGAGTTGAATACAGACCTACACATGGTTTTTGTTTCCATTTGGCTTTTCTAGATTCTCTAAATTGTGAATAGTTCTTAATCAGTTATCGGGGCTCCAATAAATTTTGAATTACCTGAACTTGAAATCTGAATATCTTGAGCCAGCATAACCCCTCATTGCAGAGATTGCATTTTTCTCTTGAAACTGTACCATAAATACCTTCATATATATAACCTTTTAAAATTTAGTTCAGGGCCTCCCTGGTGGCGCAAGGGGTTAAGATGCAACCTATGAAGCTATCCGCAGCCACTGCAGCACGAGTTGGATCCCCGGGCACGGAGCTCCCCACATGGCACAGCAGACATCCCCTGACTCGCCCGCTGTCCCCTCTGCAGTGTATTTCAGTTGATCTGCCTGTTCTGCTCCCCACTCTGTCTCTGGTGAATCCTCTCATCCTCCCCACACACACCTCAGACCTGTACCCCAGTTCTTGTATGCATAAATAAATACTTTTTAAAAAATAAAATTTAGTTCAATTCTACTGATTTTAAAAAGTAACACTGGTGAATGTATCAAGGCCAAGATTTTGTTTTAGCCATTGGCCATACCTGGGATCAGGCAGAGGACCTCTATTAGGTATTCGTTGCAGCCAGAAGTTGAGGGTAATCAAAGAGAAATTACATGTTAATCATAAAACAGACCTCTACCTCTTTTGCTCTGCAGGGGTACCGTGGGGAGTATCTCCAAAGGAATGACCTCCTCCATTTTCTCTGAGTTCAGGATGTTTGCTGTTAACCCTTTTTTCCTATCTTACACAAGAGAGCTGAATAACTAACTTTCCTGATAGGAGAAACTGCTAAATGTTTAATTTTCTCTGAACCTCATTCCCTTGCTTCAGATATCCTTCAAATTTATCCTCATAGGACAGGACTTACTATAGAGTAGAGGTCCTCCAGATTTACCTTCATGGCCATCAAATATGAGCTTTCTACAGTATAGCTCTTGATCCAGACCCAGAGGAGTTGTTAGTTGGTATATGTTGCTCTCCTTGCACGCAAGCTTTTTTTTTTTTTTAATTTTATTTATTTATGCATAAAAGAACTGGGGTGTAGGCAAGGTGGGGAGGTGAGAGGATTCACCACAGTGGGGAGCAACCCAAGGTAACAGACCCCTTAATCCTTCCTTACATACCAGTTCTATATATTTATCTTCAGTGGCTTTGATGAAGGGCTTTGCATCTGTGATACCCTCTATGCCCTGCCTGGCAGATGTAAGGGTTGATTCTGGGTTCCACTGCTTGTTAGGTTGATTTGATTAAGGTTTCTGGCTTTCTTCAGTTACTCCTGGCCGGGTATAGTCTCCTTGGTGCAGAGGAAGGCTCGGCCTCCATAATGTCTCGACTACTGGGTAGTAGCTAGGAATTGGGCAGATATTCAAGGCACTGTACGGACCAAGGTTTTTTAGTACAAAAGTTAACCTGAGCCTTACTCCCAGACTGAGGTGGCAGTAGATCATGCACTTACTCTGTGTGACCCACACATACTGTGGTAATTTCTTCCCCTCGCTGATCCCAGTGTTAAGTGGGGGCTGCACAAAATCATACCCAACTTCCTAGAGCTCCCAGTCAGGTCTACATATCCTCAGGAGCCCAGTCACAGTCACTGACAACTACAGTCTCGTAGGCCGTGCCCAGCTGCTAACTGCTCTTTACAGCTTGAACCCCGAGCATCTTCGGTTGCACACACCGAGCTTCACCGCTCCCGACCTCCGTTCCCTCGGAGGTGGGCGGTGTCCCCGCTTTCCCAGTCCCCGGCAGAGGGTGGCCGAGCGCGGCGCGGGTTTTCCAGCCGGCGAGGTTAGGCGGCAGCACGCCGGAAGTGGCGGCTGGGGCGGGAGCGCTGAGGTGTCGGCCGGCGGGGGCAGCGGCCCGGAGCAGGGGGCGGGGGCGTTGGTTATGTTTCCCTTCGGGCCCGGTAGCCCCGGAGGGGATGGAGCGGCCGGAGCCGGGGCCGAGGAGCCGGCGCCCCAGGGGAGCAGGCCGCAGCCGCCGGGCCGCTCCCTTCCCTGCCCGCGCCGCCACCTCCCGGGGCTGACGCAGCCCCTCCTCCGTCGCCCGCCCGAAGCCCTCGCCGCCCCGGCGCCCCTCGCTGTCCCCGGCCGCGCGCTCCGGGAAGCTCGGGCCCCCGGGAGCTCTGGAGCCCTCAGCCGCCTCCGCCCAGGGAGAGCAGTCACCGCCTTCCCCGCCGCGCCGGCGAGCCGGGCCCGACAGCAGGTCCGGGAGCCGGGGCCAGCTCGGCGGCGGCCTGGGCGGCCCTGGGGCCCGGCTGTTCGGGTGGCTGAGAGAGCGCAGCCTGGGCCGCGGGCTGTTCGTGGACCCCGCGCGGGACAATTTCCGCACCATGACTAACCTCTATGGTTCCATCCATCCCGCGGACTCGGTGTACCTCAGCACCCGCACCCACGGTGCCGTCTTCAACCTCGAATACTCACCCGACGGGTAAGCGCGGCCCCTCAGAGGGCGGGTATCCGCCGCCGCCTGGCTTTGCTGCCCGTGGACAGCTGCCCAGAGTTTGCCACCCGGGTCAGCCAGCGTTTGCGAGTCCGTTCGTGGCCGCTGGCCTTTGTAGCCCCTGGTACTTTCTGTAACGCTCCCTGGCTGTCGGAGGCCCCATCCCTGGTCCTTTGAGCTCAACAGGCCCGCCCGGGACTCTTGCTCACGTTCAGGGCACGGAGGCGCGATGAAGGAGAAATGCCTAAAGTCGCCGGGCAGGTCTGGACATAGGGTTTTCTGGTACTTAGTAGGTGCTCAGTAAATACATTTAAAAGAAACGCCCATTCGCTCCCTGACATCCTAGGCTTGGGTTGTTCTCAACTAAGCTGATGTTAAGGGTACAGAACTTGAAGATTCCCTGTACCCTGGTGCCTGACTTGCCATGAGGGGGCAAGTGTGCGTTCCTTTCCTCCAGTAAGATAGTAAGATGCTGCAGAGAGGTGTCTTAGGATGTGGGACATTGTGAAGTTACCAGGCTACAGTACCGGTTTTCTGTTTAGAGTATCCAGCCTTTTGCCTGGCTATTTCATGTTTCGCCTTGGTTTACTGTGGGCGATGGGAAATTTTCAAAATAAATAGTATATATTTTTACACTGTTTTGTGAGTACAGGGAAAAGTTCAACAATAACCAAAAGAAAAAAAAAATTATACATAGTTCCACTATGAGGGGACGTGTAATTCTTACCTGATCAAGACCTCCGGATTCCCAATCGTTTGCTTAGTTGCTCATTTACTCCCTCATTCAGCAAATGTTTGTTGAGCACTTGCTATGTCTCAGATGCACAGGTTGCACTGGTGAGCAAAATCAGCTAATGGCATTTACTCTAGATGAGCTGGGACTGAGGTGTTCAACTACATAGTAATCATACTGAATAAATTTGAATGTGTATTTACAAACTGAGATGAAAGCTCAAAGGAGGAATCTGTTGTGGGCTAGAGTGTTTAAGGTTTTCCTGAGGATATCACATGGAAGTAACACTTGACCTGAGATTAAAAAATTCGTAGAAAAGGAATTAATCAAGGTAGGTTTGGGGAGGAAATAGATGTATTTCAGGGCCTCCCTGGCAGTACAGTTATTAAAAGACAGCGCTATCAAGCTACTGCCAGCCACTGCAGCACAAGTTGTATCCCATGCTGGCCAGGGAGCAGCCCACATGGCACAGCAGACCTCTCCTGCCTCACCTCCTGCTCCCCTCAGCAGTGTATTTTGGTCAGTCTGCCTGTTCTGCTCCCACTCTCTCTGGTGAATCCTCTCACCCCTGCACTTCTGGCTTACACCCCAGTTCTTATAAGCATAAATAAATAAATCTTTAAAAAAAATAGATGTATTTCAGATAAGGGAATTGGAACCTCAAAGAACTTATATTTAGAAAGACAGCAAGTGATGTTAGAGAAGCCAAGACACTAGGTTAACAAGGCAAAAATTTTTACTAAAGAAAACCAAAAATATGCTAACAAGGAGCTAAGCAACAGAATCTGGAACCTAGAATCTGTGAGCAGATACACTTTATTCCATTTTACTGATGCAAATGTTTCTTCCAGTCACATGTGGTGTTGGAATCTCTGAGGTTCTCCTTATAGTAGTTGGATGGAACTGTTCCAATGAATGTGCACATGAATACAGGGAAAATGATGAGAGGAGGAACTATTTTGCTGAAGAGTATTCACAGACCCTTCCCCAGCTTCCAACTGAGCCCTCTTCCTAAAGCTCCTCCCAAAATACCAAGAGTGTGTTCCTCATCAACATTCAGATGCTCTCTTCTCCATATCCTAGCCTTTCACCCGGCAACCTCCCACCTGTTCTGGGTTTTATGTAGAGAGTGAGAAGGGGAGACTGAGTTATTGCCAGTACTGGCTTAGAATGAGGAATATATTACTGATAGTTCTTGTTTGAATTGGACTACATTTTCCCAAAAACATATATTTGTGACACATGATTAGATTCTGTGATACGTAAAACAAAGTAATTCAATGATGTTTATGCAATTAATATATACTTGTATAAAATCTAGACAATAAATAAGCAGAAAGAAGCTAAACACTTATGATCATGAATGAATTTATGGATGAATAGATGGATGAATATCCAAGGAAATTTTTTCTTTATGCTTATTTTAATATAAATACAGAATTTGGAATCATACTATTTTGCGGGCTGCTTTTATTGTGAACTACCTATATTAATAAATATATCTACAATATTAAATTTTTTTATTAGCTTAAATACAACCTCTGGGTATTTCAGATACATGTGCTTATGTTAAATCCCTAGAATGAGTCAAAAGTTATGAAGATTTTGCATACTTATTATTAAATTGCCCTCAGTGAAGATTTGATCAGTTCTCATTCCTATGGCATGTATGAAAAGTGCCTGTCTCCCTATACTAATGTCAACATTGCACATTGTCATTCTTCTACATCACTGTCAAGGTGATATGTGAAAATAGTTCTGTGCTTTAGGTTTTTAGTATTCTTACTACATCTAATATGCCCCCAAATATTTATTGGAATTAATTTTATAGAATGATAAAATATCTGTAGTAAATGAAATGATTTCTCATTCTTTAGTTATATATGAGTGAAATCAGTTTACTGGGTACCATAACCACTATCACAAAAACAGTGCAGTACAGAAGAGAGTAAGAAAGTAAAAATTAAATACAGAAGATAAAAATTTTAAATTATGAATTTAATAAAGACTAGACTAAAAAGACTTTGGCACTGAAAATGAAAAGAAGGGGGCCTCCCTGGTGGCACAAGGGGTTATGCTCCGCACTATGAAGCAATCTGCAGCCTCTGCAGCACCAGTTCAATCCCTGGGGGGTCAGAGAGCAACCCACATGGCAAAGCAGACCTCTCCTGCCTCACCCGCTGGTCCCCTCAGCATTGTGTTTTGGTTTCCCACTCTGTCTCTGCTGAGTCCTCTCACCCCCATCTCTGGCCTGTACCCCAGCTCTTGTATGCATAAATAAATAAATCTTTTTTAAAAAAATTAAAAGAAGGTAATTTCTAAAGAATTCCAAAAATTTTTTAAGCAACAGCTATTTTGCTAAAATAAGTGTATCTCAAAAGGAAGTTTATGTTAATAGATTAGATAATAACATGGGACTTTTTCAAACTATCCTCTCTGAAAAAACATTAGGCTCTCCTTTAGAGAGAACTAGTTTATTGGAAAATAGAAGTGACGGGATTATATAATGTAGATAAGAGAGAGAAATAGAAAATATGATGGAGGTTTAGTGACATGGTGCATAGAGAAAAAGAGCATGCCATGTATTTGGTCAGAATTCCCGAAGAAAATAAGATAGATAATGGGACAAAAAAGCTTTTTGAAGAGCAGCACTTCCACTACCCACCTGTGACTATGCAGGCGCCTCTTTTCACCAACTTTCTCCCTCTGCAGGGCAGCAGCCTCCTGCCTGCCCGTGACCTGTACATGCCGGGGCTTCTCTTCACTGACCTCCCTCAGTGGAGACTGCTCTCCTCAAGGCCACCTGCCTGCAACCATGCAGGCCTCTCTCAGCAAACCTGTCTCTTTTGGGGCAGCTCTTCCTGCCTGCTTTTATCTATGCAAGTGTCTTTTACTATCCTATCCCTTTTCTAATAAACCTGCTCTTTAGAGAGAGAGAGAGAGAGAGAAAGAGAGAGAGAGAGAGAGAGAGAGAGAGAGAGTGTGTGTGTATGTGTGTAAACTTTTTGAAGAGATAATAGCTGAGAACCTTCCAGAATTGAAGAAAGGCATCAAGCCATGACATAAGAAGTCCAGCACTCCCAAGCAGAAGTCCTTCCTAGACATAGTGAAACTTCAGGACAACAAATATAAAATTTTTAAAGATAAAGAAAAAAGACTTCCAAAGGAGTAAATAGGAGAGTGATATCCATCCAGTTAGTCATCTGTAATGGTGAAAATCAGCGGACAGTGGTGATCATCTTTGGAATGCTAGAAAAAAACTGCCAGTTTACATATTTGTCTACTCACCCATTAGTATTTACCAATCTAGATACTCAGCAAAGATGGGTTGTTTCTTGTCAGTAGCAAAGATGGAATAAATATATATTCAGACACAGTTGAATAAGTTTACCACCAGACTTTAAATAATGGAATTTTTAATTCAGAGAGAAGAAATATCAAATGGAAGATCTGAGATGGTAGAAAGAATGAATAACAAAGAAAGTGGAAAATATGTCAAACTAAATCTAATTTTGTTTTTTAAGATTAACAAAAATGGATCTAATACAGGAGACACAATAACATGTAAATTAGAGGGTGGTCTCAATTCTTTGGGTTTTTTTTTTTTTTTTTTGAGAGAGAACTGTGATATGTTAACTTTAGGCTTTAATAAGAAATTGCCATCTAGAAAACCTAAATAAGGGACCAGGAAAAAGAATAACTATAAGAATAACTATAAAATCAAAATCAACAAACAACTATGAACCAGAGACACACTTTTGGGGGGGGGGGATTGGGGTCAAAATCAGGGGGTTGCAATTGTGCAATTGTATGGGGAATATAAAAAAAAAAAGTTATGCCAAAAAAACAAATAATAAGAAATTGCAAGTTAATCAAGAAAAAGTATATAATTTCCAGACTGGAAGAGGGAAAAATATTACAAAAGACAAGAAGGGAGAAGGAAAAAAATAGAAAATGTATACAAAATGAGTAGACTGAATGACTGAAAATAAATTCAAATATTATTAATTATAATAAACATAGAAGTACTAAAGTTCAAAAGGAGAGAGAAAGATGTATGAAACTGCGAAACAAAAGAAAGCTGTATTAATATACATATTAGGCTTTAAGGTTAAAAAAATAATTAGATATAGGTCTCTTCATAATGATAAAAGCTCGATTCACTTAGAAGATGAAAGAGTTCTGGATTTGAAAGAGTCCTTTAGATTTTATACAAACACATACACACACATACCCCACAAATTGATAAATTCAA